CAAACTGTTTTCCATCAATGTCTCTACATAACTTTTTGAACATATACTATTCTACCATTCTTGTCTGCTCATTGTTATCAGTTCTGGGCCAGTTAATTATTATGGGTTGGTTTTCCCTGCTTCTTCATTAATCTTCAATTACTAAACAGTGAGAGTTTTACTCATTTAGGTGCTGGGTATTTTTTGGAGTCCTATTAATATTTTTGAGCCTTTGTCTGTTATATAGTTAAATTGTTTAGGCTTTTGTATTTTGCTTTCAGGATTTATTAGATAGGTCCTGAGCATTACTCAGGCTAGGGCTAGTTAGTCCCTTCTTATTTTATTACATGTTTTGGAAGTATTGGGGCTTGTATTGAGGATCTTGAACTTGTCAGGCAGGCTCTCCACCATTTGAGCCATGCCACCAACCCTGACATTTCTGATTTCAGACTCTTCTCTGTCCCCAAATAATATCTGTGTGATCAATATGACCTCTAGGAACAGCTGATCAAGTAAAACTTGTCAGAGAGTCTTTGTAGGTATCCTGAGTTCTCTTCAGTTATCTCTTCTCTGGTCCTCCTCTATCTTGGGAAGTCTAGCTGCTTAGTCTCCTCAACCCAGGAAGACTGCCTGGGACTCCCTAGAAACCTTCAAGGTCATCACAGAACTTATCTCATTTATTCCCCATGCTCCATAGGTTATTGTTCCTTGCTGCCTGACAACCAATGTTTTGAGAACTACTGTCTCATATATTTTGTCTATTTTTAGTTGCCTTGAGCCTGAGGGCATACCTATAGTCCCTGTCACCCCATCTTGGAATAAGAATGTACTATAATCAGCTTCTCAGATATGGCCAGAGGACCATTCTGTCACTCATGGAACTCTTAGCAAGACTTGTAGAGACTGGGAAAACGTAGCTTTGCTGGCCACAGGACATCTGGGACTCTTCTTGGGGATCCTTTGCAACTTTTCCACCCAAACAGGAAGAAAGCATGTATGCAGCCTCCCCTGGTGCTGTTACCCTGAGGGTGCAGAGGACCCCACTCTCCCCATAGACTTAGGTTTGAGGCTCCCAGCAGCTCTATGTCTGCTGCTGGTATCAGATTGGAGTAATGGTCATTACTGCTAACACATTCTTATAAGGAATGTTTCCCAAAGTTGAAACCAGTTAACAGAAAGATCTACTGTGTACCCTTTGCTGAATGTCAGAGTGCCCAATTTCTCTAGGTCTCTTCTAGAGGCTTGTCACTCAGCTGAGAGGCCTCTCTCTAATTTTGGAGAAATCAGGAAAGAGGATGCTATGTATATTGTATGGGGGAGAACAGAGTCCAATAGTCCTTCCTTATCTCAGATTGTCAACCTGGCTTGTTGTTAACCTAGATGTAGTAATAATCTTATTAGACTAATGTCAGCAGCCAGCAAAAGGACAGGTAGCCGAGACTAAGGCAGGAGTCACATTTCACTAGATGTACTCATTAGGAGTTGACACAAATGAAAAAAGATTTATTTCCAAGTAGACATGAATATGTGTCAATTCATGAAAGCAAATAGAGCCAACATGGGTGTGAGATGCCCAGTTTTATCTTTCATACAAGAAATCTGCTCCATTTTCAGGAACATGCCAAGTTTTTTCTTTATGGGCATATTGTTCCCTTACATCTATTCCATGAACCTGGGATAGTTCTCTACCAGGCAGGAAACACCAACTGGCTTTTTATTTATTTATTTTTGGTCAGTTGTAGGGCTTGAACTCAGGGCCTGAGCTCTGTCCCTGAGCTTTTTTTCTCAAGGCTAGCACTCTGCCATTTTGAGCCACAGTACCGCTTATGGTTTTCTGGTGGTTAATAACAGTCTTATGGCCTTTCCTGCTCAGGCTGGCTTTGAACCACTATTCTCAGAACTCAGCCTCCCTGAGTAGCTAGGATTACAGATGTGAGCCACCAGCACCCAGTACTAACTGGCCTTTTGACCTGATCTTTTTTCTGACGTCTCCTCTTGGAAGAGCCCTAATACCCAACACCACCAGATTTTCTCCTATTGCTGTCCTGAGTCCTGTGAATTTAGAAAGAGACCCAGAGAAGCAGAGACATGAGCATAGCACAAAAGAGCCAAGGTGATGGTGGTGACTGAAGTGTACAGGTCTAGGCTCGTACCAGGACAAGTATCATGTGGCTCTCCCCTGGAGAAAGCCCGAGGCAGTACAGGAGGCTTCTGCTTCCTCACCCTGCTCCTCAGATCCTGCCAGCTCCTATTTCCAGAGCAGAAAGGCACAGGAAGTGGGACTGCAAAGTACAAGATGCTAATGTTGATGCCTAGAAAGGCAGAAAGGACCAAGCCAGGCACCTGTTTGTAGTATATGCTTGGGCAGAAGGAGGGGCATTCAGGGCGAGGGGCTAGGTCCTGCTAGAGAGGAAAACTGAGGAGAGGGGCTGTGGAGGGCATCTGAGAAGCAGGAACTAAAGATACATTTGATTCAGGACCAAGTTAACTGAGCAGGAAGAGAGCTCCTTTGAAAACTCAGGTAGATCATGCCACTCTTTTGTTCAAAACTCACTGGGCAAAATCCAATCTCCTTATGGTAGGCTCTAGGGCTGGCCACCTTCAGTTCTCTGAGTCTGCTCCCTCTCTTGTTCCTTTCTCAGCCCCTCTGGCTCCTCAGATCCCTTGCTACCTGTGAATGCACAGGCAAGGCATCCTTTGTTCATGTCTAACACACTTCTTCATCTCCTTCATGTCTTTGTCCCACTAAACTGTTTAAATCTCCTGGCCTGTTAAGAGCATTATGATTCTCTCGTGTATTATGCTATTGGCATACCTAACAGAGGGTAGGTTCCATGAAGGCAAAGTTTTGTTTGGCTTCCTTATTTGAGAATTAACATGATCTCTTCTGCCTAGAACAGTGCCTTGCATGTAACTGATGCTTGACAATGATTTTCTGACTGGACTAGCCCATTGCAGCAGAGGCCATGGTGCCAGACATGGAGCACAGAGACCTGGTCTTACTCAGACTGTGTTAGAATCTTTAGGCCAGCTGCCAGGAGTTCTGCACCAATGAAGATTCTCCTTATTCAGACTCAAGGAGTTCTAACAGTTGCTAGTCTTTAGGTACACAAGTAAGGAATACACAAAAAAGAAAACTTTGAGGGACCTTAAGTTGACTGAAATAGGATGGGGATAGTAAGATGCTCATGCCACACAGGAAGGGGCTGGTATTTGATCACTTAGATTTCCCAATGTTTGCAGAATTTCCCAGTTGCTTCCTTTTGCCCTTGGTGAAGGGGAACTGTCTACTGAAGAGTCTTCTGCAGTGCTCCGACCAGGTCCTCTGGGGAGCAGCTACAATTCTGTGGGTATGGAACCCTTTAATGTGGACCTGCAGAGTGAGCGGAGCACACAGTCGGCAGCCATACAAAGTGACACAGACAGCACGCCGTGCACACACGCACACAGATGCCCATGGAGACAGCTAGGAGACGTGTAAGGGGAGGACTGGAAGTCCATTACATGCAACTGTGGAGGTTGACAGCTCTCATACACTTGGCCAGGTGGAGACAGTGGAGACAAGAAGTAAAAGAGAATGAGCAAACCAGAAGTCAGGATGAGGTCAGAGGCAGAAGAGAAAGGCGACAGGACACAACCAACAGATGAGCCCTGTGTCTGGTGGTACTAGATGGCATGTTTTAGGAGACACAGGATGTGGGAGAAGGAACAGGGAAGGTTCAGCATGCACAGGCTCTTGCCTGGCAGGAGGCCCTGGTGCCTAGTCATCATGAACTCACCATAAGCTGCCATTTACATGCCCGTGTGGTGTGTGTGTGTGTGTGTGTGTGTGTGTGTGTGTGTGCGTGTGCGTGTGTGTGTGTGTTCCTGAGAATTAGTAGCTTGAATGGCATCAATGTATATTTCCCCTCCCCAAGCTAGGTATTTTACACAATGATTTTTTTCCCCAAGGTCTGTAAGGAATTTAAGGAACTCGACCCTACCAGCTGATTTTAAAGAAGAGGAGAACTTTGAGCCAATCAGGAGAAAAGTGGCAGGTAGGAAGCAGCTAGAACCCCAGGCTCCTGGACCTTTGAGTTAGGCTGAGGCAGACGTGGAACCTCTGCTCCATGTCCACTGACTATGGAGAGGGCATATGAAGGGGGAAAACATGAGGAGCCCCCCAGTCAGTGGCTGCTGCATCGCAGGGAGCAGTCCTTAGATTCAGCTGAGAACCGCTGAGGCAAAGGTCAGGACTTCTGGGCTTTCTCTCCTTGGGCTTGGGCACACTGCCATGCTGAACCACATCAAAAGGAGTGAGGAGAAATAGATGAAATGGAAATAAAGGAAGAGAGTGAGAAAGACAGAGAGGAAGAGAGAGGGAGAGAGAAAGGGAGAAAGGGAGAGAGAGAGAGAGAGGAAGAAGAGACAGAAGGAGTAAGAGAGGGAAGGGGAGGGAGATGGAGAGGCAAAGGGAGAGAAAGGGTGAAGGATTGAGAGAGGGAAGGAGGAAGAGAGACTATAGACTCAAAGGAAAGGAAACTGCTTAGCCTCAGAAGTGGCCACGGTGGAGATTTCAAACACCATTCAGCTAATCCACACCAGACCCTGGTTGGAACCTTCTTGGCTTCCCAACATCTGAACATTTGCAGATAGAAACACTGATGTCTCAAGAGAGGAGGCCTTGGGAAGAGTGCCATGGAATGAAGGCAGACTAGGGTGAGGATGTAGCCAGCTACTTCCCACCATACCAGGCCCTACCAGGACCTCAGAGCTGGTAGTGGGGGCCTGGGTGGTGCTTAGCTCATGGGTACATAGGCAGGCAGTGTAGGGGAGGACCCCTACCTGCACAGGTGTGTGCCACCTGTCTCTACCTATGGCCTCTTCTCTCCCTGGGAAGAGTTCATTATTGGCATATTAAATATTACCCCCCCAGGAGAGAGATGATTTTAGGGGATAAAATTTTAGGAAGGGGCTATCTGTACCCATGACTAGAAAGATGGGACCCAGCTCAGTCCTGCTCGGTCCCCGTGGACACTCACCATTCATTTGGGAGGGTGACAATGAGTAGTCCCGGTCTGTGTGCCGCCGATCTGGCTTCAGGTTGCGGCTCTGTCGGCCAGAGCCCTCCAACATGTTCACAATCTCATTCCGGTCAATGTTCCGCAGGGCAGTGTACAGGTTCTCCACTGCCAGGAAAGGAAAGAAGGGCACGTGAGGAGTGAATTCTAGTCATTTAAGAGCAATAGGGAAGGTTGCACAGCCAGCCTGAAAACTGGGCCAGGAGGAAGAGGAAGAAGAGAGGTGACCAAGTTTTTCAAAAAGAATCAATTCCAAATGCTTCTTTGGGGAAGTTGTTTTTGTTTTTAATTGCTACAGTAGATCTTTTCTAAAAACTAAAGGTGGCCGCTCCCCCTGCCTCCTCCCACTCCCTGCCTGGCACCTCTGGGATAAGTGCTGGGGATCACAGCAGTGATGCCACACATGCCAAGCGAGGACTTTAGCATTGAGAAACAACCCTAGTCCCTCACTGGCTAGTTAAAAGCATAAAAAAAGAGTGTTTTTTTCCCTTTTTCTTTTTTTGGGAATGAATACCAGGACAGAATGAGGGTAGGGATGACTGGATTCTGTCCTTTTGACATTCTGGGTCCTGGCTAGTTGATTTGAAATGCAATTTCCTCTTAGTGCTACAGAGAAGTTGGTGGAAGAGACTCAGAAAAGAGATCAAGGCCAATCTTCCCTCTAGGCTGGGGAAAGAAGTTCCTGGGAGAATGAAAGCTGCTGTGAGCTGGTTTCTGTCCCGCCCATCTCTGTTCTGCGATAACAACACTATTTTGGTTGAGAAATTCAGGAAGTCTTTGAAGATGAGAGCAAGCATACATTGTCTTATATTTACACCTCATCCAGGGGAACAAGGGAGAAAAATGTTATCTTACTCTCAGAACAGGAGAAAGATTGAGGCCAAGATAGGCTGTGCATGTGAATGTTGTGAGAAACACAAGTGTGTGTGTGTGTGTGTGTGTGCATGCGTGCATGTGCACGTATGTGCATATGTGTGTGTGTGTGTGAGAGAGAGAGAGAAACAGAGAAAGCAAAAAAGTGTAACAGAGCGCAATAGCACAAGCGCTAAGGTCAACAGAAGGAAGGAATTGGAAGGAAGACATCTTTTGGCAAGGAGCAGGTCTAGCAAGGCCATGCAGCTGAACAATACTGACTCTTCGCATTTTCGCCTTCCCGGGCAACCCAGAGGGTCAGCAAGGCTGCACTTTGCTCCAACAAGGAATTAGGGTTCTCTACTCGGATCCTGTTGATGTCTTCTACACTGAATTGCAGTTCCCGGGCCAACTCTGCAGACAGAAAAGCAAGAGTAGCTGTGAGCTCAGACTGCTAAAACACAACCTCCATGATGCATGTTTCTTCAAGGGAGACCTGGTGACCTGCAAGCGGTTACCCCTCTGAGGAGTCAGAAAACAGGCAAGGTGTTGAGTGAAAGAATAAACAAATGCCCTCTTCTGCTGCTTTCCTTGCTTCAAACAGAAGATGGTAGAAACAAGCCTCTAGGGAAGTTCAGCTACTTTTCCAGAGTCTTAGGACAAAAAAGTCACCCAGTTAATCTGGAAAAGGAACTGGAGGCATGGGTTGCTGACAAATACATATTACTGCCAAGAGGCCACAGACTCTCCTTGAGGAATCAATGAAAGTGGAAAGGTGTCTCTGTTTACCCATTTCCAGGAAAATGTGTTATTAATACTGAAATCTTGTTTCCACTAATTGCTCCTGCATAGGTGTTTAGAAGATGGAGGTGCCCCAGAGTGTACTTTCAAAGATGAGGAAGAATGGGGAGAAGTGCTAGTGTGAATCAGAACATGCCTCTATAGTACCCACACAATGCATACACACACAAATCACGCATACATACATGTATGTGTGCACATGCACAGGACAACTTCCCCCCACCCACGATGGTGTAAAGAATTAACAGTCTCTGAACTTCTGTTTCAGCAATTGTGGCTAAGGATTCCCAGTCTGTCTAAAGCAGAGTCTATGCAGAGTGAATGAGTGGGAAGTTCACTCATATGAAGGATAACAATAAGAAAAGGAAAAAAAAAAAGGAGCGTAAGAGAATCAAGTTTTAGGGCCTTTGCTTCATAAAACACATTCTGGATATTTTCTCTTTGTACAACTGTCTCCTTTAAAGTCAGACTTCTCCTGTTGTTGGCAAGAAGTCCCATAGGCTCAGCTATAGCCAGAGTGATAAATGAAGCGTCAAGTCTTTCAAGCCAGGAGTGGATGGCTCATGCCTGGAATCTTAGCTATTCATAAGGCTGAGATATGAGGATTGTGGTTTCAAGCCAGCTTGAGCAGGAAAGTCTGTGAGACTTATCTCCAATTAACAACCAAAAACAAGTAGAGGTATGGCTCAAATGGCAGAGTGCCACCTTGAGCGAAAAGCTGAGAGATAGCACCCAGGTCCTGCACGCACGTGCATGCACGCACATGTGTGCACACACACACACACACACACACACACACACACACATACACCTGCCTTTCTTGCTTCCTTTTCCTTAACAAGCTACCTTTGAAGGATGGTGATGTGTCTGTTTTGCTTATTTGTTTGATTTTCTAGATTCTTTCACTTGCTAGCTTCAATAAGTAAGTCACTCTACTGAGCTGAATTTCAATTTTTCTATTTGTTAAGACAAAGTAAACTAGAGAAATCCAAGAGTCTTTTGTAATGTCAAGAATCAGTTCTCGGGGCTAGGCTCAGTGACTCATGCCTGTAATTCTGGCTATCTGAGAGGGGGAGATCAGAAAGATGGTTGTTTGAGGCCAGCTGAGGCGAAAAGTTAGCTAGACATCCATCTCAACAAAAAAGCTGAGTGTGGTAGCATGTTTATCACCCCAGCTACATGGGAGCTGTAAGTAGAAGCACTGTGGTCCAGGCCACCTGGGGAAAAAATGAGAGACCCTATTAGTTAAAATAAAAAGCATTTGTTCCAGACAGTAGTGGAGGAGAAAAGCTCACTTCTTTGCATAGGCACCTATGGATGGTGTTGGGAAAATGGGCTTATCCCAAACAGTCAGATCAGATGCACAGTGCACAATGGAGAGAGTTAGAAATGCCTACCTTAGATAATGTGGGGGGTAGTCAAAGATTTTTTTCCCCCTGCCCTAAGTTCCCTACTCACCTGCCCAACTAAGGCCAAGGTGCTCTGTTATGACAGCCATCTTCATATCTGCTTTGTCAGTCCCACTGGGAAAACCTGGAGAGATATATTAGAGCTCAGTTAACAGCCTGAGCAGAACACAGCATTCACAGGTCTCAGGGTCTCTGATGAATGGATGTGTAGGTCACACAGGGGACCTCAGAGTACACTGATCACTGCTTCTATAAGGCAGTAGACACCTGGGACCAGGTTCTACATGCTGCACACAGGATAGACTGAGAAAAGTGCATGAAGAGATGAGCTTCTGACCCTCTCCATGGAAATCTTTCTCAGAGGAGCAAGCATAGGTCTTCACAAAGAGGTCCATACCCAGAGGTGACTCGCTGAGAATGCTGTATCTTAGAGACAGGGGTGTCAAGGTCCTTCTCCTATCCTCAGCTCCACTTCCCTGCAAAGGATAAAGAAAGATATGCTTTGGGTTTGGCATACCTGGAGAAAGTGGTGCAGCTCACACTACAGGGAGAGGAATGGTGGCCGGGGCCCAGTAGGAAGGTAAAGGCAGGAATGGAAATTAATTTCCATTAATGACACCTATTATTTTATTAAAGACAACTACAATGCTTGTGGCTCAGGCTTATAACCCTAGCTATTCAGGAGGCTGAAATCTGTGGATTGAGGTTTCAAGCCAGCCTGGGCAGGGAAGTCCATGAGACTTTTATCTCTCCAATTAACCACCAAAAAGCCAGAAGTTGAGCTGTGCTTCAAGCGTCAGTGCTAGCATTGAGCAAAAACTCTCAGAGACAGTGCCTAGTACCCAGGCCCTGAGTTCAAGCCCCAATACCAACACACACACACACACACACACACACACACACACACACACACAAATAACAAGTACAACAGCAGACTCATATAACCCTAATTGTGTGTGAAGCCCTGTTTAACATGTTTATGACAACCTATAGTTAGGTACTGTTTTTGTTCCTATTTCATTGATGAGGAAACTGAGGTACAGAGAGGTTAGGTAACTTGCTCAAGGTTACCTAATAAATAATCAGTGGAGTTGAGATGAACTTAAAAACTGTTTTTCTTTTTGGGTATCTTTCTGCTCCACTGACCTAGTTTTGACATTAGCCTCAGGCTTAACACTTATTTGCTCTAGTCCACAAGAAATCTTTTCGGAACTATGATAGATTCTAGAACAAAAACAGTGTAATTTCTTAGGCTAACTTGTAGTCTAACAAAATAAACAACCAGGAAATGGATACTCAAAGTAGAGGGTGGGGAACTCTCCCCAAGAGAAGGAAGAGGAGAGGAATGAAGAGAGGAGATGAAGTCTCAATGTATATCCTACACAATTTAGACAATTGAGAGAAGGGGTGAGGAGGAATGAGGGAAAATGATGAAAGGGGTGACACTGACCAAGATGCATTGTATTCACAAACTGCTTTGTTGAATGGCAACTCCTTTGTACAACTACTTAAAGAGAATTTAAAAAAATCAATGCAGGCTAAAAAAAAATCTTTTGAGAGAGAGAGAGAACTCAAAAGAACAGAGATATAGCTATTGATATTTAAATGTGACTTTGCTTCTTTTTTAGTTGATCGTGGAAAGCTAATGATTAAAATAACTACGAGATAAAACGGGCAGCAACATGGAGACATTCCGGAGACAAGATTACTCTGGCATTGCTGACAGAGGTGACACCTGTAACACTGACAGGCATTGATAAATGAACATACACAGTCAAGACTCCATGGCTGAGCTCAAATCTGGGTGTTTGCAGTGGCTGAGGGCTTAGATCAGTCAATGAGAAACTCCATGGCCAGTGACCTGGAGTGACTCAACACCCAGCTCCAAGCTTCAGAAGTCCCACAGGGAGATGCTCTGACCTTCATGTCCTAGAGCCCAGGGCCCCCTGCAACAGACCTAGCACCTTGTCATGTCACATGATCAAAGCTGGACGGAGCTTTGTAGACAGGCTTTGTAGATAGGCTTTCCCAGCCAGGCCACAAAACAAATGTCCCTAGCAACACTGAGAACCTTTTGTACCTTGGAAATTCCAAAGGCAACATTTTTGAGGAGAAAGCCCTTTGGGAATAACGATCCTCGAGTCTGTTTGGGGGGCCTCTTTAGGGCACCTGACCTCTGCTGTAGGCGCTCGGCCCATGACGGCTCACCTTGGTGCAAGGAGGCATGGTGATGTTGAGGTGGCACAGGATGTGCTGCGCATCCTCGTACTTCATTGCCTTCCTCAGGAATGACAGGAAACCTCCGGGCTCCCGACTGCTGTCCCTCACCTAAAGTCAATCACAGAGGGAGACTTAGAAGGCTATCTGTGGAGCCGGGCGCCGGTGGCTCATGCCTGTAATCCTAGCTACTTAGGAGGCTGAGGTCTGAGGATCCAGGTTCAAAGCCAGCCCAGGCAGGAAAGTCCGTGAGACACTTATCTCCAATAAACCACTAGAAAACCGGAAGTGGCGCTGTGGCTCAAGCAGTAAAGTGCTCGCCTTGAGCTGAAGAGCGTAGGGACGGCACCCAGGCCCAGAGTTCAAGCCCCACGACCGACCAAAAAATAAATAAATAAAAAATAAAAAAAGAAAGCTATTGGTGGCCTCCAGGCCGGCTGGCTCAGAAATGTCCACTTATCCAACTTCCTAGACCCAGAGGAGCAGTCAGAGGTCAGTACCTTGACAGGGATGGCCAAACGATTCTCTCGAAATGACTGAAAGTGGAAGCTTCGTTGCTGGGCAGCTTTCTTGACAGGGACCAGGTTCCCAGAGAGTTCTGCAAACAGGGGCATTCCTTCTAGAACCTAGAAAACAGGAACAACAAACAGTCCACCAGGGGAAAATGCCTGTGAGCTCCCATCTTTCTCTCCCCCAGATGAGCTTGTGACAGCATGAAGAATGTTGGTATGTTCTGAGAAATGTATCAGGATGACACTCAAGAACTCTAGAACTCCACCAGGAAAGCATCATATGGCTTCTGGAAAAGACTGGTCTAGTTTTCTATCTGTCCAAAGAAGTTTAGTTCATGAGAAGTGCTGGGAAGACTATGTTCTATATTAATCTCACCTGTCCTAAAGATCCCTTCCATATAGCTAGTGCTTTCAAATGGGATGTTCTCATGAACACAATTGACAGTTAAGTCCTACGCTTCTTCCCCAGAAAGATTTAGCTCAGATTTGGAGGCCAGACACCCAGAATGTTCCTGGCTTACTGTACATCTTAACATGAGCGAGTATCCTGGGGTGGATAATAGGTTCAAATCCTGGTCCCAGACCTAGACTAATCATTTGTCTACCCATCTCTGCTGCTGCTCAATAGGCCCCCAAACTTCAGTGAAGCCCACATGTGTGGGCTCTGAGTTAGGAGACTTGGACAGATCCTACCTCTACCATTTATTCCCCTGTGAGACTTTAGATAGGTTATTCAATTAGTCTAGACTTGGTGTTTTAGTGTGTAAGTAGAGGACAATAAAGGAATGAAATCATAATGCAAGTAATTCATTTTGTTGTTGCTGTTTTAGGTGATACTGGGGGTTGAACTAAGAATGTTGTGATTATTAGACAGGTACTCTATCCATTGAGTCACTATATCAATCCTTGTTGCATTAGTTATTTTCAAGATAGAGTCTTGCTTTTTGCCCAGGCCAGCCTGGACTGCAACCCTCCGATCTGTGATTCTTTGTGCTTCCCTGCATTTCTAGGATGACAGGTGGAACCACTGTCCCGGCCACCAGTTCAGATGAAGTCTCATGAACTTTATATTTATTTATTTTTAGCCTGAGCTGGCCTTGAACCTTGATTTCACAATCTTTACCTTTCAGGTAGATTACAGGCTAAAGCCACTGCACCCAGCTGAACAACTTTTTTTTTTCTTTTTTTTTGGGGGGGGGGCTTGAACTCAAGTCTTGAACACTTGCTTGACTTTTTCACTCACAGTGGATGCTCTAGTACTTGAACCATACCTCTGGTTCTGGATCTCAGCCTTCTGAGTAGCTAGGATTATGAGACATCTGTACCTGGTTGTAAAGCACGTTTAATAGTCCAGGTTCATAAAAAAGTTCAATAAAGCATTACAAGTCACTGATCAACTGTCTGCTGTCTCCTTTGAGTCTGTTGTAGCTTAAAGAGACAGACCAGGAATCTTGAGTCCTCTTCCCTCTTCTCCCTCCCCTCCACAAGGAGTATCCGCTGCCCTGGTCATTAGACTCCCAGGAGACAGTGTGAGGAGCCTACCCTGGTTCCAGGGCTTTGTCTCCTTGTGAGAAGTGATGAAGGGCTTTGAGGGCCCAGTCATGAGAAGATCCATACCTCGATGTCCCTGCTCCGGGCCACCTCCACGAAGTTCTCATGCTGCTCAAGGGTCTTGTCCACCTTGTCATCTGTCATGCAGTAGCAGCGCAGCCGCCCTTCCCGGGGATCATTCATTTTGGCAAAAATGACAAACTTGGCCATGTAGGGTACTGCGGTAAGCTCTTTGTACAACAGAGTGGCAAAGTTCACAGCCTCAGCAGTTCGAGGACAGTCTGAAAGCCAAAACCTAAAAAGAGAAAGCAAGTTATGAACACACTCTTGAATGATCCATGGCCACGTAGGCAGCAGGAACGTATGAGACACACAGCACTGGCCTCTGTGTGGATCTTCTACCTCAAGCCTGGCTATGAGGATGGGGCTCCCTGAAGTGGCCATGCTGGGCTAGGCAATCCTAGTCTCACCTGGCAGAGACGTTGGTGGTAAAGTTGGCGCACTCGTTAGCATACACAAGCTTGGTTGTTCCCGTTATATCTTCCCACTGGGCCTGGTCAGTTCCGCCTGCAACAGCAGCAGAAGTGGGGCTGAGGGACATTCTTCCAGATGTAAATGTGGAAGTTACCAAAGCACTGAGGGGCAGGTGTCTAAGGGCAGATGTAGCACATCTGGGTGACACTTTCTTAGTCTGTGGCCCCAGCACACTGGCGTTCTCATACTCTGCTCCTCATCCTATGGATCTGCAGCTCCCCTCCTCCTGGGGCTCAGAGGTGTGTTGTGCCTCATAACCCTCAGAGGGGCTAGCAGCAGCTGAGGTGTTTGCTGGTTTGTATCGCCCTCTCCAGTCTCTTTATGTTCCTGAAGCAGGGACACTACTCACCAATGACACTGCACAGCAGACGCAGGCTGGTGGTATCTCCCTCCCCGCTATCCCTTGGGTTGTCGGTCCATGAGGGAGGGAGTGGGATTCGAAGCCCGATGGGACGGTGAAACTTCCGGCGCCTTGGTTCCACAGTGACAATGGGGCTGAATGTGGCCTGGTTACCCAGGAGCTTAGTGACCAGCTCATCAGGAACAGGCTGGGCCTATAAAATGCCAAAGATAGGATGCTCAGCTCCAGGCAGGGCAGGGATGGCCCTGGTTAGTTAGGATGGCCAGGTTAGAGACAGCATGGTATCCTCCAAACATAGGGCAAACCTTGGTGAGGAAGTGGACAACGATTCCCTTTACTGAGGGGCTGATACCACAGCTCAGCTTTTCTTTCTGAGACTTTTTTATTTCCTGTTTCAAGCACAAGGCCTTTGCTTAGCATTGTAGTCTACTGCAGGCAGCTCACAGACTCCCTCCTGTTGAGCACAACTGGCTAGGTTACCAGACCCAGCCACTGGTAAAGATAATCTTAAGAATGCTTTTTGCCAGGCCTAGCCTCCAACCTCAGTCCTCAATCTCTGCCTGCCATATAGTTAGGATTACAGTCACTGGGCCCAATGCCACCTGACTTCCTTCTGAGCTTTCAAGTCAGATCTCTCCTGTGGAGAGAGAAGTAGGGATGTTCAGTTTGGAGGGGGCTTCCCAGGCCCTGAAACTCCTGCTACTTCCAGGAATGGGTGAGGGGGCTGCATCACCTGCAGGGCCAGCTTCACTTTCTTGGTGACAGCATTTTCTGGGAATGTTGCCTGCACCAGGGGCACCAGCTTGCTCTTCAAAAAGCCCCCTTCAGGGCCGATGGTATCGTAGTCTTGGCAGAGCCTCGACATGATTACGAAGTACAAGGGGAAGTCAGTGGTGATGATGCGGCAGACCCTCTTCTTCTCCAGCTCCTCCAGACTGCCCAGCTCTGGAATCACATGCACGAGCCACCCACGTGAGGCCTCAGAGCTTCCTCATCCCTGAGAGATGCAGCCTCAGGGGAGCAGCTGGGAGGTGGCCTGGAGGAAGAAGTGACTGGGCACAAAGGCTCAGCACAAGAGGTGCAGGCCGCAGGCAGGAGTTGAGGGCTACTTACATGTACTGGGGACCTGAAGTTTGAAAGAGATGTGGGACCACTGCCATTCTTTCATAGCTTCCCAAACTCCAGGAAGTGCTGATAGCCCACCCCAAAGGTCCTACCTCAGATCTTATCTTCCAGAAGGGAGTTCTGCAATGGGGTCCTAGGGCTCCTTACCTTCATCCATGCCATTGAGGATCTGATCCAAATAGCTTTCTTCGTAGCGGCTCTTGTGTTCCTTCCACACAGATCCGTTTTCACTCCTTAGAACCACAAGTTCACGATCCCCACGGCCATGGGAGGCAAAGTGAGGGATCTCCACAATCACAGGGCTGAAGCAGGACAGAGCAGACGGTGAGTTGTTCCCAGTGTGGACAGGTGGCCAGGGGTACAGGGAAGGAAAGGATAGTCAGCCCTGCCTGCAGGGAGAAGGGGCTTCCATAGCCACTGAATAGACCCCCCCATCTGCCAGCAGGTCCCTAAAATGGAATAGAACTTCTGCAGGCTCCCAAGGTTCCCCATCCCTTCTTACTCCCTCTGGGCCCAAGGCAACGATGGGAGGGCAGGTTTGGGGGTAAGAGTAAGTAACTTTTCTACCTTGTCTGTACAGCTGGGAGTTCTGACAAACAATTCTGCTCTTGGATCTAGTTCTGAGAACTCAACTGATTTCCCCACACAGGTGACCCTCAGGGTCCTCACCTGGCAAATGACCACAGTGACATTTCCTTTGGAGGGAGGCTTTGAGGGCTACTTTTTTTTTGTTGTTTGTTAGTTTGTTTTGGTGCTAGTCCTGGGACTTGAACTCAAGGTCTGGGTGTTCTTCTTAACTTTTTTTTTTTCTCAAGACTAGCACTCTACCACTTGAGGCACAGATTCATTTCTGGCTTTTCTGGTGGGAAAATGGAAATAAGGGTCTCCCAGACTTTCCTGTCCAAGTTGCCTTCAGACTGTGATCCACAGATCTCAGCCTCCTGAGTAGCTAAGATTACAGGCATGAGCCACTGGAACCCTGCCAGGGCTACATTTAAGGAGGAAATTCAAGGAATAAATATGGTGCAGGCTGTCCTGTGAGGCCAGCCCACAGGGGTGACAGGAAGGTAGATGGAGATAGAAAGGAAGGGTAGAGCTGTATCAGCCTTAAACCTCCTGGTACCTGAGGGCAGACAAGCTCCAGGGAGAGCCTGGTCTCTTCAGAGAATGTGAGGCCTAGGCCCTTGCAGTCCATTCATTTTGTGGTCCTTGGAAGCCACTGGATGACACTTCAGTGCCTAAAAAACTACCTCAGGACCCCAAAGTAGCCCTATCTGTGCATCCCCTTAGCAAGATCTGAGAGCAGTAATATCCACCAGGCTATGAACTCTTCAGTGGACCTGAAAATGCCAGTCAGGGAAAGGAGGGCTCCTCCAGGGCCCTGCTAGGGTATGGTGGCTCTGGGTAACTGGCCATCTTACCTCAGGAACTGAGCTCCTGTGGGTCCCAATGCAATGATCCTGCTGGCCAAGCCCTCCTCCTCAGCCAGTGGGGGCGGCGTGTTCAGCTTCTGGGGCTTGACCAGGCGGCAAGTGATGCGTGTGGGTGCTGCACATGTCCGAGGTGGGATCACCACTCTCAGGCCATTGTGCCGACTTCCTCTCATGGAGCCACCCCGGGCATCAACCATGAAGCTCACTAGAAACCTGGAAGCAGTGCAGATTGCTGTTGAGTGCTGATCCCCTTCCCTTGGAGACAAGAAGAGTGGAGTCCCAGAGTCCTGGTACTCACCCTGTGTGGACGGGGCTTGCCACAGGGCTGATATTGTCTGAGGTTTCTGTAGCTGGGCTGCTGGGGATGAGTGAGTCCTCATCGTACTCCTTAGAAGCCTGGGGAGGAGAAGAAGGACTCCTGTCTTGTATCCAACATCCCCTGGGCCACCTGAACATGGTCCTAGGCTGCAGGGGCTCAGGAGGCCCCAGGGAAACCCCTGATACTCCGAGGAACCCATCTGCCCCTCCCCTGTTCTGGGCGTCTGCTTGACTCCAATCCTGAGATAAAGCATTGGACAGAGTGAGTCCTTAGTCCTTACTCTGAAATCTGGCTGTAAGTCTCCTTCCCCTTCTCTCCCACCATGTCCCATAGGGAAGTTCTGCTCTACACAGACAGCTTTTTTCCTCTGGAGTTTGTTCTGGGCCTCAGGCTGTCACTTCCTACCTACATGCTCTGTAGCTTATCTGGTGTCCACGAAAATCCATCAGGCACTGTGGGGCTTCCCATCTCTCACCATGCCTCACTGTAATAGTGCAACTCCAGGGCCCCCAGCTGCCTGTGACAGGGCCTTTCCTATACACCATAAGGATCTATGATGGTCAGCTTTGGTGTCTGTACACTTCCCGTGAGGGTGAGCTCTCACTTCAGGAACTGGGCTTGATATTCTACTCTGCTCTCACAAGCTTCCCATCTGTCCCAGGATGTCCTGGTCCCTGCCCTTGTCTAGTTAATCCTACCCATTTTCACTTTCCTATTGTCTCTAGACTCCCTCCTCTGCACTCTGGAAGGGCTTGCAGCACTGCTCACCTGGGCACCTCTGTGGGCCCCAGGCCTGCACACTGCTACAGCTGACAGCAGCTGTAGGGAAGCTCCTGCTCACAGTGCTACATGGAGCCACATGCAAATGCTTACTAGGAATGCAGCTTCCTCCTTTGATGTGAGGTTATGACTTAAGCAAAGAGATGCTGGGGATGTGGCTCAGTCGCAGAGCATGTTTAAGGTCCTGGGTTCCAAACTCAATATTCCTTCCTGAGAATGGGCTTGTCAGGAAACCAGAGGACCCAAGTCCACTCTGCTAGTTCCTCCACTGCTGACTTTGGAAGCATCCAGGCATGATGCCACAGAAGTGCCAGGGGCATATCTGCCCATTTCTCTCAACCACCATACAGTGACACTTAGGTTGCACCATTCTGGTATACACTGGCACATGATGGCTGATAAATGAGCCACTTTTGGGTCCAGGGCTCTGGCTTCTGTTTTCAGACACATGTCTGAAGAACTCAATCTTAGTGAGAAAATAGCAAAGTCCAGGTGGGCTGCCAAACCGAACCACCATATTCCTTTCTTTTCACACTCCTTTTATTTTCTTTCTAAGAAATTCCTTTGCTCTGGAAACAACAGCTAACACCCTTGAATGAAAGTAAGGAAATGAAGTTGCCCTAAGTCATTTCTACTTCCCATCACTGCTTTTCAGGACAAATGGATATGGCATGCAAGAAGCCACCAGCCAGGGCACTGTGATGCAGACCAGAGGCTTGGGCAGTTCTCTAGCAACTACTTTAGTCTGGGCTTCCAGCACTCCCTGTGGAAAGACAAGGTGAGGCAGAAGCAGCCCCTCTTATGGATACAGAAAAGAAAGCATATGGAACTCTGCAGCCTAGAGCCTCACGGTGTGAATAGGCTGTGCCCCATCTGCCATGAAGAGGGCTTCCTTCCTGGTCCTGATATCAAGTGTGAACAGAGACTGTGGCTGTGAACATGAGCTTGGAAGGGCACTGTGGGTACTAATCAGGTTTCCCCTTGTGCTTCTGATGCTGTTTCCTACACTGAAGCTTGCTGGGCCCTCAGCACTAATGTCATACTACAGGACTCCACAAGACATGTGGAGCTGCAGATCTGAAGGCATGCTGTGAGCAATACAAGCTTTTCAATGATAGCTCCTTGTCCTATGGTCATCTCAACATGGCCATTGTCATGGGTAGGTACTATGCTTACTCTGCAAATGGAAAAGTAGGAGAAACGATGCTTCCTACCTGTTCTTGCTCCTCAGATCGGATCACTACTGTCTCAGGCGTGACACAGGGAATCCTGGGAATGGCTGGAGACTCCACCCTGAGTGCCAGGAACATTGAAAATATCAAAGGCAGGGAATTTGAAATAGCCCCATTCTTTCCCAGGAGATCTAAGTGAAGGCCACAGTACTCCTCTATAATGACCTGGCCAGTCCACCCCTCATCAGATTTCAACCTGCCTCTCCATTTGCCTTACATGTGTAATGTGACAATCCTTTGGCCAGCATCCTTCCCATCTCTTGAAGCCTCTCCCTCCCTTGGGTCTCTGGAAGGCCAGGTGCCCTTCCCTCCTCACTAAAGGACCTTCCTCTTTCGTGAGCCTTCATGATGAACATAGGTGCCAGTCCTTTCTAAAGCTGTATAGCCTTGGTGACAAGCCCCTACCTGGCCTTCATGATGTGCTATTCTGTGCTGTACTCTGACCCCTTGGTATGGATTTTGATCCCTCTAAAAGAGACTTCAAGTTCTTCATAGTCAGGGTTGAGTTCTATGTTTCTTTCTAACAGATGTTCAGCAAGTACTTATTGATTGAGCTGAGCTACTACAGCAGACTGAGATCTGAGGATCATGCTTTTGAAGCCAGTCTAGGCAAGAAGGTTTGTGAAACTCTGATCTCCAATTAACCACCAAAAAAAGCCAGAAATGGAGCTGTGGCTTAAGTGGTGGAGTGTTCTTCTTGAGCAAAAAAGCTCAGGGTTAGCAGGATGGCCCTGTATTCAAGCTCCAGGACTGTTACACACACACACACACACACACACACACACACACACACTTTATACTGAATGTTCTTGTAATTTCCCTTTGTGCTTATTGTGGCTCTGTTTTGTATAAGCCATTAAAACACTGTCTTTTCAGAAAACCCTATGCATGGACTTAGTGTTTCTAAAAGGTGATCTGAGTAGGTTATCTGCAAATATCTCTGTGTACAGATGCATCCTCTCACAGCAGCCAGCTGGAGGAATGAGAAATGGGCTCTAGATAGACACAGGTCAAACTTAGTTTATGTACAGTACCCCATAAACGGAGGCATTTGGGCAGTATTTGATAATAGCTGGCAAGTTTGTAATGTGAATTACAAATGTGAAGGCGAGCAGGAGAGAAGTGAATGAGGGAAAGGAAGTTGGGAGATGGTGTGCCAGAAGAGGAGAGATGCAACCAGACAGTACACTGAGGAAGGCCTCCACACAGACCCTTACTGGTCAAGGTGCAGAACTCAAAGATTCTAGATTCTGAGACCACAGCCTCACTCTCCCAGATTCTGTCTGGTACTCTGTTGGTGGGGCCTGGCCTTCTTGTGACTCTTCCTCAGTCTATAGTCTTACTTAGAGTACCAGAGCTATACTTGACCAACCATGTTGTGACCCTCGCCATCCACAGTGTGAACCTCCCACTGACCCCAGCCATCCAGTGTGGGTCTCCATTGAGTCCTAGCCCTTCATAGCATGACTCTTCTCTGCCATACTGCAATCCAGCCATCCCATGACATGATACCACAGTGAACCCTTCTTACACTTGGTCTAGCTTTGGCACAAAATCCAGCAGCTCCTTCTCTTCATCCACATCCCTGGAGTCCTGCCTCTCAGCCTTGGAGCCAGCAAGCTCTTCCCCTGAAACAAGATGAACTCAAGTGAGTGGCAAGCAGGACTCTTATTTTTCATTTTTTTTTGCCAATATGAGGGCTTGAAGTCAGAACCTTGCACTGGCTTGTTTTTCTTGCTCACAGCTTCATTCTACCACTTAAATCTACATTTTTGTTAGTTAATTGGAAATGGAGTCTCATGGACTTTTTGCCTAGGCTGGCATCAAACTGAGATCCTCCAGGTCCCAGCCTCCTGAGTAACTAGTATTACAAGCATGAGTCACAGGTACCTAGCTCTTTTCTTCTTGAAAGTGATTTCCCTGGTCTGCCTCTCATGATTGCACAGAGCAGGAATGGCTGCTCCTAACCTCTTAGTTTGTTCTAAGCAACAGAGACAAAAAAACCTTTCTTAACTTGACAAGTTCCTCACTGCAAAAAAGCCCCTTTCAGGGGCTGAAAGAGCACTAGAAGAATCACTACAAAGCCACTGCATCAGAGTAAGTAGAATTTGGAAGGGCTGCAGCATTTTTTTGTACCTGTGATGGAGCTCTCCTTTCTGTTATTATGTCTATTATCTCAGTAATTCCTATTATGGAGTCATTATTTGCAGTTTCAAAGCTAGTTACAAAGAAGTTTAAGCTACTGATGCATCAGCTGCCTGTGCCCCAGACTGCCTCTAGTTTTTTCTCTTCACCTGACCTGGAACCACTGCCCTGTCCTTGACTGTCACTCAGCAGTGGGAGTCCTGGCTGTGTTTGGGAGCTGACAGGATGGAATCACAACTGCTCATGCAGGATGACCACAGCACAGTGGCATGGACAGAGACTCACAGATGGACAGGCAGAAACTGTCCACTGGGTGTGGAATTCGTGAGTGTGATAACTTGTTAGTCAGGTTCTGGGCTCCGATGGTGAAAATGGAGGGAGAAAATGGAGGGAGATGGGTGAGGATGTAGAGTTAGAGGATGGAATGCACTTGGTGAGAAAAGACCATGGGAACAGAAAGCAATTCATACCCATTAGACTTATGTGAGCAGTTCCTAGAAAGCAAAGAAGAGCCAAGTTGAAGGAAGGACAGCACTGAAGTTGGTTACAGTAAGAGGCATGTTATCAAAAGCATTCACACAATGAAAGCTTTACTGTCCTAGGGGGCAGTCATATAATCACACTTATAGATGGAAGGGGCTGTGGAGAAAACCCTGTGGCACCCCAGTGTTCAGCATCCCAAGGGTTCCCTCAAAGCTAAGTGAAGAATGCTAAACATGCTCTGTAGTCCATAAAGCTGAAACTGTATGGCATGTCTCACAACCTGTAGACTACCATTGTGGCTAGAAGAGCAGCTGATGAAAATGCTCTTATACATCTTTAAGTAACCCACTTATTATTTGTTTAAACTCCAGGAAAGCAGGAAAGAAAGATATGATAGCCTTTCGCAGCTTTCTTTTTCTGGCACAGGGTCTTAAACTCAGGGCCTTGTATTCTTGCTTAGTCTTTTTTGCTTAATGTTGGTGCTCTACCACTTGAGCCACACCTCCATTTCCAGCTCTTTGCTGGTTAGCTGAAGAGACTTTTGGGTGTATTTGCCTGGGGTGGCTTCAAATTGTGATCCTCAGTGCTCAGTCTGCTGCGTAGCTGGGATCACAGGTGTGTGCCACAGTTACCCAGCTTAGTCTCTTGCCGTACTGAAAGGTGATCTGAGTTGATCCACATTTGATTTGATGCTGTGTTATAGGTACATATGCATACTTACAGATACTGTGAGATTAAAAAGTTGAATCCCTGAGTCAATTTTCTTCTGTCAAAAATTATTTGAGAGGTTTTTTCTTTTTTCCAGAGTGGAGGACTGAACTCAAGGCCTTGTACCTGCTAGTCAAGTGCTTTTCCACTGAACTAAATCCCCAACCCCTATTTGAAAGGTCTTTCTGACAACAGGCAACATCATAAAAAAAGTGGCATCTCTGGTTACACATACATACAGAACTTGGGTGTGCTGTGAGGGACCCCGAGTGCAGACTGGTGGGGAGGGGGTGGCAGAAGCCATTCAGGATGCTTGGAATCCCTCTGTCTACATCAGCCTGAGCTGATACCCCAACTTTACCTTCATCTTCAGAGACATCCAGAATCTCATCCACCGTCTCAGGGTAACTCATCCGGTGCTTGTCACTGACTAACTAAAATGACAAAAAAGCAGAGACTTCAACCCCCACGGAACAGGCACCTTTCTCCAGTGAAGTAGTGACTTGGTCACAATAAGGAGAAGGAACAGGAGTTGGAAAGGTGTATCCCCAAAGAAGAAAACCATATTGAGGGGAGCTCCTGACTTGGAAGCTAATGCTTATCTGGCACCTCAGGTAGGATAACTACCAAGACCTCCTTCCTTCCCCAGTCCCATCCACCTTACCACAACCCTAATTCCTGGAGCCACTAGGTGGCAGTATAGATCCACTTGGAGAGGAGGCCTCTGAGTTGTGTGTCCCAGGGCTGAGGCCCTGGCTTCCAGAGGAAGGCACAGATCTGTCTGCTATGCATGGGGGCTGGGCACAGGGGAGGGGCAAGCATACCACTACGCTGGTTTCATCCGTGACAACTTTCAGCACATCTGTGACAGAAATGTAGCCCAAACGCTTGGCTATTGCCAGAGGTGTGGTTCCGTTCTAGGACAAACATAGAGAGGATGCAATCAGACAAAGGGACAAGTCAGGGAGGAGAAGCTGTCTCCCTGTATATAGACTTCTGGATATTCAGAAGGCCCAAATAAACAGAATAAGCCTTGGAGCCTTCACAACCCATATACAAGTGTGTGCACAAACTCGATGCCACAAAGATGGGTAGGTGAGGATAGTATGCAGTATGAAAATCTTTCCAAGGCAAGCAATGCCAGGACCTAAAAGGTTCAAGTGGTCAGGAAGTCACCAAGCACAGCTCTAGAAATGGGAGGGTACAGAGCATTGCAGCTCACTTCTCTGAGGTCACTTCTTCAGGGGGTCAGTAACTGAGCATTATCATAGTTAAGACAGTCCCTATTTTTTTTTGGGGGGGGGTCCAGTCGTGGGGCCTGAACTCTGGGCCTGGGTGCTGTCCCTCAGCTCTTCAGCTCAAGGCTAGCGCTCTACCACTTGAGCCACAGCGCCACTTCCGGCTGTTTTCTTTTTGCTTATGTGGTGCTGAGGAATCGAACCCAGGGCCTCAGGCATGCAAGACAAGCACTCTACCACTGAGCCACCTTCCCAGCCTGACAGTCCCTATTCTCAAGTGTAGTAATTAGACTAGTCAGAATTTACAAATCACCAGAAATGGGATAGGAGTATCATTTCAGTTTTGATTTTACAAGAAATAACTAAGTGAAAAATCACTGAAGCTTTATTTTCTCTTAAACCTTTTTTATTTCCAAGATGTGTCTAGGGGTCCACATGAGTTCAGCTCCATTAACAGTTACAATTTCAGCACCCATGTCTACAATCAAAGTCCATGGAGAGAATCTAGAGACATCTCCACATTGTCAGAAGAGGAAGTTTATCCTGTGCCATGTTCACGGAAAATTCTACAAATATCCCCAGGGCCTTGAGAGATTGGGAATCCCCCAGATAGTTTCATCCACTTGTGCCATACTGAATGCTATTTCATATATATTAAAGGGCTGTCAATAAGAGTGAAAATCTGGGTTTGATAATATACATGTATAATCCCACCTATTCAAGGACAAGGTAGGAGGACTGGAGCTCAAGGCTAACCTGTGCAAAGTTAGTGTAAAACCTTTCTGAAAAATAAAAAGTTAAAAGACTTGAGCTGTGACTTAAAGGATAGAACTTGTCTAGCAAGCCTGAGGCCCTAAATTCAATCTTAGTACAGGACTGGGAAGTGGGGGTTGGGACACAGAACAACAACAACAACTACTACTACTACTAAGACCATCCCAACTACAAACAACTAAGAACACCGAAACAAAAACAAAAGAGGGAAAAGTGGTGTCTAACAGGATCATCTTCAGACAGAAAGAGAAAAACCCACCATAGCCCTCCAGCCCCTGGGACACAGGGGAATCTGACATTCTGATATGGGGGTGTGTGGGCTCCCACATGCTCACGAACTCTGTGGTGAGGGGCATCTCTTAGGGCTGCTTCTTGGGCAGTAGCTTTCTCAAATCAGGCCTGGTGGGTACTCACCGAGCTGACCTCGTTTGGGGAAGCGCCATTCTTGAGCAGCAGCGTTACAATGTCTGTGTGTCCTTGCTGCGCTGCTTGGTGCAGGGGGCTATATCCAAGCTATAAAGAAGGCAGACATTGGCAGGATCAGCTCTGGCCACAAACTCCAAGACCTGTCCATTTTATTCAGATGACATAAAAACATACATTTCTGTAATTTCATCCATCACAGCTTAAAAATGTGGCAGAAAGGAAACAAGAAGTGTTGTAGCCTTGAGTGTGCAGAAAGTAGCTCTGGTTACAACCTATTTAGGCACAGAGGAGACCACTCTAAGGTAGCCTGTACCTTGGTCTTGGCGTTGACATCAGCTTGGTGCTGTAGCAAAAACTTCACCAGCTTGATATTTCCATAATGACTGGCCACATGGAGTGGGGTGTAACCCATCTGAAAAGCAAGGGAGGAATGAAGGGACAGCAGGGTTTCTAAGTAGACAAAGAGCATTATAAGAATGTGGCTGTATTCCAAGCCATTTGGGAGGCAGAGATCTCAAGGATTGTCATTCCAGACCAGCCTGCACAAAAAGTTATGGGAAATCTCCATCTCTACCAGCTAGCTGGGTGTGGTGGCTTGAGCCTGTAATTTGTTACTCAGAAGGACATCATGGTTGAGGCAAGACTCTGGGCAAAAACTTAATGCTCTATCTAGGAAAATAATTAAAGCAAACAAAAGGCTAGGGGTGTGGCGTAAGTGGTAGAGTACCTACCTGGCAAACACAAGGCCTTGAATTCAAATCCTACTGCTGTCCAAATAAGTAAATAAACTAGGGTGAAAGTAAGGAAGGATGGCCAGGAAATATCTGGGAAGGCTAAAAGCTTCTAGAAGGTGCATTGCTGTGGTAGGTAGACCCCCTAGCCTGGGAAGGAATGGAGGTCGGTGTCAGATAAGTGAAATTCCAGATGTTGCTGAGACAAGGGAGGGAACTGGCTGAAGCCCTGTGAAAAGGGCCAGGTTGTGGTCAGGGTCAGCAGAGGGGGAGCTGGGAGCCTTAGAGGTGAAGGCGGATGGTGGATGGAGTGGCGAGGAGGGCCTCAAGATGGTGGCACTTACTGAGAAGAGAGGTGGGGGACCTGGAATAAAGCCTCATGCCAGGAACAAAGATTGGCTATCAAGAAGGGACCAACAAATGAGGCTTCTGCTGAGCAGGGCACCAAAAGAACAGATGGTCTCATGAAACCATGCTAACCTTGATCACAGCAGGCTTATTCCTACCCGAAAGGCAGGGAAAAGTCTATTGTAGAGCACACAGCAAGGCTACCTGGGTTACTCAGTTTTTAATGAATTGATGGGAACTGAGCCTCACCTGAAATGGGCAGTCATGGTTATTTATTCATGTAAGCTTCTGAAGGGCTACTTTCCCAAGAATCTGTCCTGCTCAATACACTTTTTTGTTTGTTTTTGGTTCTGGGTAGAATCCAGGCACTCCTTCATGCTTGAGTATTTGCCACAGCCTTGTCCCTTGGAATGTTTTGGTGGTACCCTCAAAGGGTTGACAAGCCAATGTCCTCTGAGCTCTTTGGTCTCAACTGTCTCTGGGAGCTGCTGCCAGCAGCTCTGAGAGCCTTGAAGCAGGTCTAATCCAAGAAATGGGGTTTCTCAAGAGACCCCAAAGGATTAAGACAGGACCCTAAAAGATTAAACTGGATCAAGAGAAGCCCCACTGGTCTAGAACATTCTTGGGGTTTTAACAGATTCTGTTAAAAGGCTATGGCAGTTAGGTATAAAAATGTGTCGTAGGATCCTTTTAAGGTGACATTGCCACAGCATTGTTGTCAGTATTTCTATGGAACATGGGTCATTCTGTCATTCTGTACTTTCTAATGGGTCATCTTGGGACAAAAGAGCAAAATACACTTCTTCCAGGAAACCCTTTCTTCTCACCAGCTCCTCATCCTTTCTCTGGGGCTCAGGTCTCTTTTACTGGATATCATTCTGTGACCTATCTGTGCCTCAAGCTCACACACAGAGTGGACCCTCCCTAGCCCTCCACCTCACAGGGCTCCTTGGCCACAGGAGTTCAGAGACAGTTGAACTGACTTCAACAAAATGCTGGAAGGAGAACAGAGTAACTGCTTCTGGGTGATTCCATTAGTCAGGCAGGCACCTTGATGTGCCTGTGACACAGGACTCAGTGTCATGACTGAACATTCCTCTCAAGTACTGGTGACAGAAACTCAAAAGCCTACCAAACTTTAAAATCCAAATTGAGAGTACAGAGATTGGCATTTTCTAATGCCACTTTCAGCCCCTAGAAACGGCAGGGAAGCAAAGTCCAACTGGCTCTTCATGGAGGTGTGATTCTAAGCTGTGAGGAAGTCATCTGCAAAGACTGTGTCATGGGGCATGCAGGTGGGGAAGGGAGCCAATATGGAGGAAAGTGAGAGGCTGCTGGCCTTACTCGGGTGGTGGCATCTACTGAAACCCCGTGTTTGATCAGCACATCTGCCACTGGAACATGACCTTCTTGTGCTACCAGATGGAGAGGAGTCAGTCCACTCTGGAAAGAAAAAGATGTCGGTCAGATTGATCCCTTTACTAGCTTGCTTGAAACTGGGCAAGGAGAACACCTTACAACAATGTGGTCAATCACAGCAGCACCTCACTGGTGTAGAGAGTTTCACTTGTCTAAGCCTATATAAGAAAGCCAATAGAGCTAATGCTTTTTTTCCCCCTTCTCTTAGCTAGAGAAATCTTGGACTAGTGATATAACCTAAGTGGTAGAGTACCTACTAAGCAAACAAGTTGGGCAAACATAAGGTCTTGAGTGAAAATCCTAATACAGAGAGGAAAGAAAAGGCATTCATATTAGCTTTTTCCTGGTAACTCACACTTGTAATCCTGGCTACTTAAGAAGCAGAGATCTGAAGGATTGCAGTTTGAAGTCAGCTGGGCAAAAGAAATCCAAGACTCCATCTTCAATTAGCTAGCAAAAAGCCAGACCAGAAGTATGGCTCAAATGGTAGAGCACCGGCTTTGAGAAGTAGAGGAAAAGTATGAATACTCACCTACAAAACTCAGTTTGTGTCCAATCTTCCCAAGTATATGTCTACCTTTAGAAGCTTTCACACACATATCTGTAGTTCCTAGACTAAGAACTAGTCTAATATGTAGGTCAGCATTTAAAACCTACCTTTCCTGATGGAAAATGAGTATTTAGTAGCACCATTCTACAGACTCCTGAATGCAGACACTGGCCTGCACTGGGGAAAGCTTACTCCGGATTTCCATACTGATCTTGCAAAAACTGCTAGTAGTATGTTTAGAAGATTACATGGTGTCAGAGAATCTCCAAGGCCTAGGCACTGGGATTATTCATTTATTTGTGAAGTTCAGGGAAAAATTACAGAGGACTGTTGTAAGGATCTCTAAAGCTGAGCAATTAGTAAATGCTGCACTCACAGTTTTCTCTAGTAAGCTGAAATCATGGCAAAAGTGGGCGGCACCTACCTTGTTTCCCAGGTTTCCATTGGCTTGCTTGGAGAGGAGCAGGGCAACCATCTCTGCATGACCCTCTTGGGCAGCTAGGTGAAGGGGGGTCACGCCTTGTACAGACTCTGCATTTGCTGATCCCCCGTACTGGAGTAGACTGCGAGCCACTTCCATCTGGTTCTGTTTGGCAGCAATATGCAAGGGAGTATAGCCATTCTGAAAGAGAAGAAGCCACCCGAGCTTGGTGACAGGATGCTGAGTTGACAGTATGAGCATGCAAGCACAGAAGGGAGGGTTGGGCTGGGCTCCAGGCCTGTTCATCTCACTCCAAAGAGCTGGTGTCATCCAGGAGAGCAAGTTATGCAAACAAACAAACAAACAACAAAATCTACTAAGTTTGGACCAGCTCTGCAGACTCTCAGAGCCAGCAAACATCTGTGCCTTTCTGATTTTCTGTGCTCTCACACAGACAAACTGCTGGGCAGGAAATGCTCTGTCACCTGGCAAAGCTTTTTTTTTTGCTGGTCGGAGGTGGGGGGTGGTGGTGAGGCTAAACTCTTAGGCCTGGGTGCTGTCCTGCAGCTCTTCAGCTCAAGGCTAGCGCTCTACCCCTTGAGCTATAGCACAACTTCTAGTTTTTTTCTGCTGATGTGGTGCTGAGGAATCGGCCCCAGGTCCTCATTGCAAGCAAGGCAAGCATTCTACCACTGGGTCATCTTCCCAGCCCCAAAGCTAGGATTCTAATGGACAGCCTACAGAATTAGAAGTGAGGGAGGTAAGGAAGTTAAAGTCCCTCTCTCTCATCTTGCAATAAAAACTCAAAGTCCTAAGCATTTCATAAAGGAATAGAAACAACAGCCTTTGATCTTTCTGTGTGCAATTATGCCTATGTTGCTCTTCAGATAAGTGGTATACAAAGAGATACACCAGGGAAGAGACTTGAGGATATGGAGCTGGCATTTGTTCCAGTCCAAACTAGGAACTAAGTATTCTATCACCAAGCTTCCTTTAGTATTATTTTTATTGGGTCCTGAGGTTTGAACTCAGGGCTTGGGTGCTGTCCCTGAGCCTCTCTGGGTGCTCAAGGCTAGTGCGCTATCACTTGAGCTACAGTTCTACTTCTGGGTTTTTCTGAGGAGTTTATTGGAGACAAGAGTCTCATGGACTTTCCTGCCCAAACTGGCTTTGAACTGTGATCCTCAGATCTCAGCCTCCTGAATAGCTAAGATTACAGGTGTGAGCCACCAGTGCTCTGTTTTCTTTAGTATTTTTTAGTCATTAAAAGTAGAATAACATTTACCTTATTTCTTAAAATTGTAGCATAGATCAAATATGATTGTATGAAAAGTGGTCTCCAAAATTAATTTATGAAATTAAGAAAGGTCGGGCATAAGAGTTGACCTATTTGTTTACATAATGTGCCCTCTGTAATCCCAACTATGAGGGAGAAATAGATAGAACGCTTGTGGTTCAGGGTCACCTGGGCATGAGACTCTAACCAAAGGATAACTAAAGCCAAAAAAGAGCTTGGAATGTGATTTAAGTGGTAGAGCACCTGCTTAGCAAGCAAAAGGTCGTGGGTTCACAAAAATAAAAGGGTAGAGGAAAGGTCCAAGTGGCAGCAAGCATGGTGTCCCGAGTCCAAGGTCCCATACTGATACATTAAAAAAATAAATAAAGTGATGTATTGTGATTTTGTAGCACACTGGTTTTAAGACATTATAAATTTGAGGCCAATGAAAGAGGTTGGCCTAGAAAACCAATTGTGTCAGTGTAAACTGCGTTGTTTTGGACATCAAAAATTTCTCAATGAAAGAAGCAATGCATATGGTTCACCTGGAGCAAGCTCCTTATCCCACAGCCAACAGGTGACAAGCTATAGGTAGGCTAATTGATTATCACTATTTCTACTACTTTCACCTCCACCATTTACAGTAAGGCAAGTACCTCTATTATTACCCTATGTTTGGATAAAGAAGCCATTTCTCTGAAAAGTAAAGCACTATATCTAATGTCATATAAAAGGCAAAACAACAGGCAAACCAGCGGGAGCATAGTTTCTGTGTGCAAATCACTTGGGACTCCATTCAAATACAAATGGCGATGCAGGTCTCCAGAAGGCTCAGGAATGTGTGTTCCTGGGTCTCAGGTAATGCTGCTGCTGTTAGCCCAGGGACTAGCGAGGCCCAGAAATGCTGAGAATGAAGTGGATGCCAGGCCCTCTGCTTGGGCAGGACCCATGACCTCCAGATACATATGCTCACTCAGCCCACAATCAAGCCCAGTGCTTGACTGTCTCAGGCATATGTTTCCCCAACCTTGCCAGCATTCCTCTGGCTTGTTTGAAGACAGCCTACTGCCAGTTCATTGCCACTGTCTTACTATAGCAATGAACATTCCTGACTCTGCCAGAATTACTGACAAGGGAAAGAGAGAAAGCAGGAGCTGACTGTACCACAAAGTCCCAGTTAAACAGCACCGGGGATACAGAAAGGTCAGCAAGGTCAATCTAGTAAGTACCTTCTACAGGAGAATAAAGTTGCAATTTACCTCTCAAATTAAACCAAATGAAAAAGTCATTCTTTTTGCAGAATATAAGATAATTCTTTTTAATATTTATCCATCTAACTGGATGACACTTTGAGAACACATGACATTGTTCTTCAGAGGTTGTGTTCATATGACAAGATTGGCATTTTTATTTTAATGAAATTAATTAAACAGGATCACTTTTGCATAATATCAAAAGAGAAAAGAAGCCAGGCACCAGTGGCTCACACTTGTAATCCTAACTACTCAGGAGGTTGAGATATAAGGATCAAGGTTCCAAGCCAGCCCAAGTAGGAAAGGACTCTTATCTCCAACAAGCCAGCAAAAACAACTAGAAGTGGAGTTATGTCTCAGTGGTAGAGCACTAGCCTTGAGGAAAAACAAACAAACAAAAAGGGTCAGCACCGAAGCCTTGAATTCAAGCTCTAGGACTGGGGTGCATGCACACACACGCACACATGCAGGCAGGCACGCATGCACGCACACACACATACACAAGCTGGAAGTGGAGCTATGGCTCATGTAGTAGAGTATTAGCCTTGAGTGAAAAAGCTAAGGGACAGGGCTCAGGCCCTGAGTTTGAGCCCCAGTATTGGCACACATATGCTTGCATGTACACGGGTGCATGTACAGAGAAATCATGAAGGAAGTGCAGATCAATGGGTCAAGCCTGAGACATGGAAGCACTTCCACATACACAGTGTCTGCTCCCCAGTGCTGCAATTCCCATGAACTGGAATAGGTATAAGTGCCAGCCAGTGCTAGCACTCATGAGGAAAGCAAAGCTTCTTTGAGAGCGTCTTTATGTGCGAAGATGTGTCTGGCACAAACTCAAGTGTGTTCAGGGACATATCTCAGGAGTCCCAGGCCACCTGGGCAGCAATGGGTATTCATGCTGGCAGAAAGAGATCTTGTCCTGCCCAGTGGCAAGCTTGCCAAGGGGATGGCTCAGGCTGCCAGGTCACCCTGGGTTAAAATCAAGATTACAAGAGCCACGGATCATACTCTCAGAACATGCATCAGTACATGGAACATTCCTTAAATCAGAACTAAACAAATGGCCTTCCATAGGTGACAAGGACAAGGGGCAAATAGGCTGGAAAGCAAAGGAGAAATCAGGGAAAGAGGTGAGCCACAAAAGACTCTTCTTTCCCAAGGAAATGAGTTCATGGGAAAGATACTGCAGAGAGTTCTGTCTAAATAGTGCAACATTAGCATCAAATTAGGAAGGGGAGGGTTTGGTTTGGGTGCAGAGGGATTTGCATGTGAAATTCTACAAAATTGCCAGACTACTTTGGAAACTATTTTTGCCATGGAAACAAAACCCATCTGTGCAGGGTTTTCACTTGCATTTAGCTCTCCTTAAATATCACAAACCTGGCTCTGGTTCCTTTTATATAAGGAGAGTAAGGAGGAGCAGGAGAAGGAGGAGCAGGAGGAGAAAGAAGAAGAGAAAGAGGAGGAGGAGGAGGAGGAGGAGGAGGGGAGTTGGGTTTGTTATTTTTAGAGGCAGGAGTAAGTCGACATCTTAGCAGGGTCTCATGCTCCCTCCACACAGTGACATAGTGCTTGCTATGACAGGAACGGGGACAGAAGCCAAAGGAGACAAGGGAAGTCTGGGAAATGCTGTGTGTGTGTGTGTGTGTGTATGTGTGCAGGAGTGGGATGCTAGCAGTGTGAGCTAAGCAGCTGAGGAGAGCAGGGAAGCAAAATTAAAGCTCCACGTGGATTTTGCCCCTCTGAAATCAGCAGGTGTCCCTGGGAGCTCATCGGGCCCTACCCCAGAGTTTCTGCCCCTGCAGCACTGAGCCTCCACACCCTCTGTAAACAGTCCTCTAAGACTTATTCTCATATCTTGGGCTTCCCAATCAGACCACAAGCTCCCAGGTGTAAGGACCACATCTTATCTGCTCAGTCCCGACCTTCTATCCTGGACACCAGCTCCACAGCTTCCTCCCTCACAGTCACAAACCCCCATACAACCCTTGCTTGCCCACAGGGGGGCAGCCTGTTCCCTAAAATGCTCCCTTCTGCACTCTGGTTTATCCTTGTTTGGCTCCCTACAGGCTTGGCCCAGGACTCTAGTCCCTTTGGGGACAAAGGCTCTACTTTTTCCAGGCATCTTGTTTTAGAGGCTGGTGGGCTGGGCCTGTTGGAAGTTAGCTGTATAGATAATATCCTCATTTCTAAAAACATCTAAACAGTTGAACTTACAATAATACATTTGGGGTGATTATTAGATTCAGAGGAGGCTCCTTGCCCCAAGGTTTCAGAGAGCTCACCCTAGCATGGTCCAGATGTGGTCATTGTACCTAACATCAAAAAACCAGGAAAACAGGTGCAAAATGGGCCTTCCCAGCCATGCCCATGAGTAGGAATTTCTGAGAACAAGACTCATTGCTCCTCAAAAATTTGCACCAGTGGCGCTCTACCACTGAGCCACCTTCCCAGCTCTACCAGTTCTTTTTTTTAAAGCCAGTCCTGAGGCTTGAACTCAGGGCCTGGGCACTGTCTCTGAGGTTTTTTTTTGCTCAAGACTAGCTCTCTACCACTTGAACCACAGTGCCACTTCTTGCTTTTTCTGTTTATGTAGTACTGGGGAGGAATCAAACCCAGGGCATGCTAGGTAAGCACTCTACTACTAAGCTACATTCCCAGCCCTCATACCAGTTGTGATCTAACAGCTAGTTGATAGAACTCACCTGTCACAGCTAAGGGGGTGGGGAGGGGGCACACCTGGGTGTGTAAAATGGATTACATCTCCACAAAATTTGTGAAAGAAATATAGTATCTATTCTTTATTTCGCTCCTGCAGGTAACATGTGTGGAAGCGAGGTGAGATTTCAGAGGTAGAGAAACAAAACCCTTCCTCAGAACCTTACCCAAGCAGGGCTGTGTGGGGAGCCACCCCGGGGAAGCAGCAGCTTGACGATGTCCAGGTTGTTGTGATGTACAGCCACATGCAGGGGGGTCAGTCCATTCTGCAGAGAGACAGAGGAAAGAGAACAGCTTAATTCTAGTGAACTTTCTACAAGGGTATCCTTAGGTATACAGGATCCATAGCATTTAGGGTAAAATCTGGTTAAAAATCCATCCAAAGCAGGCCTGGGAATGTGGCTCAGTGGTAGGCTTGCCAGTATTCTTCAGGAACTGAGTTCCAGCCCTAGCATTGTAAAACACACACACACACACACACACATATACACGGGGTACATATATATAAAACTTCTCTTCGGGGCTGGGAATGTGGCTCAGTGGTAGAGCACTTTTTCAGTCTGCACAAAGCCCTAGATTTAATTGCCAGCACTGAAAAAAATAAAATAAAAGGATCTTTCCAAATCTAGTCCTTTTTTTTTTGTACTGGTGGTGGGCTTGACCTCTGGGCCTAGTGTTCTTCCTTGGCTTTTTCTACTCAAGGATGTCACCTTACCACTGGAGTCATACTTCCACTTTTGGCTTTTTTTTTCTTTTGGGTCCGGTCGTGGGGCTTGAACTCTGGGCCTGGGCACTGTCCCTCAGCTCTTCAGCTCAAGGCTAGTGCTCTACCACTTGAGCCACAGTGCCACTTCCGGCTTTTTTCTTTTTGCTTATGTGGTGCTGAGGAATTGAACCCAGGGCCTCATGCATGCAAGGCAAGCGCTCTACCACTGAGCCACCTTCCCAGCCCTCACTTTTGGCTCTTTGCTGGTTAACTGGAGATAAGAATCTCACTGATTTGTCTGCCTGGGCTGGCTTCAAACCATGATCCTCAGATGTCACTATTCTAAGTAACATAGGCATGAGCCACTGGTACTCAGCACAAAGACACTAAGGACAGGCCCATGGGGACTCTTTGGGGGCCTTAGCACACCTGCAGAGAAGGCACTAGATCCTTCTAATAATACAGCAAAGCTTTTGACAGAAAGATGGCTTTCTCCAAGGACCCTTTTTTCTAGATGGCTTGCCCATCCAAAAGAGGATTGTGAAGTATGTGCCTTCCCGCTTCCTGTAGCTGGAGCAAGAGGATGTTCAAACTCACTTTTCCAGCAGCGTTGGGATGTGCATCACGTTCCAGCAGCAGCTCAGCTACCCTAACCTTCCCATACTTAGCAGCCACATGGAGAGGGGTAAATCCTTTCTGAGGAGAAACAAAGGCTGTCAGGATCCCAGAAGTCAGAGGTGGCATCTCTTAAGAAAGGACCATCTCAAGGGTGCATCCCATCTTAACCAGTACAGGGATGTCAGCAAAACGAAAGGCATCCAAGTTTTGATCCCTTCAGAGGCCAAAGACCTTGAGAATTAGCAACCCACCCAGCATCTCAGGCTCTACTCTTATAAGAGATATAAGGCTTTGTACTGTTAAATGATTACTGAGCTTGTTTCAAGTGGAGATTTGTTTTGCTTCGTTTAAATAAGTCTATGTAGCTCATGCTGGTCTTAAATTTATGGTCTTCTTGTCTCAGCCTCCTGAAAACTGAGATTATATGTGTGTACTACGTCTTGCAAAATTTTTGTGATTAGTATTAAATTCTTGTGGTTATTATTAAATTATTATTTATCAAAGCAATTTTATGGTGCTAGGGATGGAACCTAGCAAATGGTAGGCAAAAACTCTACCACTGAGCCATATGCCCAGCCCTGAGTCTTATTTTCTTGAAGCCTAAGAACCTGCCTCTGATTTCTATGATTTGTCTAGAGCAGATGCCAAGTAAATAATTGCTCTATGAGAAATGGATAGAGGCTGGCAGCGGAAAAGAGACTAACTCTTGTCCTTTCTGGGGAAGCAAACAGCACATTGTTTATAGGTGGCAGCCAGTCCTACGGGGACCTGGCCCTCAAGTGACTGCATCTTAAGTAAGACAATAAAAGGAACCAGGTAAGAATCCCCCTCAGAGTCCCAGGCCTAGCCTCTCATTTCTTAAGGTCTTTCCTTCTTTCCTTTCCTTCTTGACAGTGTCTCACCATGTGCCCTAGCTGGTCTCAATTGATCCTCTTGGTTCAACCTTCCAATAGCTGGGATGACAGGTACATACCATTGTACCTGAACAGCTTGATGCTTCTTAAGACTGGGAAATGGAGGCTGTACCTTGGTCATGCAGGCCTGGGATGCATCCTTCTCTAGAAGGGCCAGGGCTGTGTCCATGTGGCCTTCTCGAGCTGCAGTGTGCAGGGGTGTGTGGCCAGCAGTAGTGGCCAGGTTGGGGCTGGCGTTATTCTCCAACAGGAGCTTTACCATGTTTGTGTGGCCAATTCGGGCAGCACAGTGAAGCGGGGTCTGGTCGTCCTAGGCCCCCAAGGTAAAAACATAACAAGACATGTTAGCCTTTAGAAATCTACTTGCATTTTACAGAGAAGAAAGGTTAATGATTTTCTCACAGTCTCTCAGCTAAGAAGATAAATATCCGGGATGTGAATCAAGACTGTCAGCTATAGAAATCAAGTGAGTTGTATTTCTAGTTAATTGTCCAGACTCTTGCCCTTCTATGCGGGAAAATGATATCCATTCACAGGGTGGGTCTTAAGACCAAGTAGATGGATGACAGAAAGTGTTTCACACTGTGCTAGGCACAGGACCCCCATCCCCCCATGGTAAAGTGATTGCTATTGGGTTCTATCTCTCAAGTATTTCTGAGTGGACATGTTTGTCTTTCTGTTTGAAATCTACTTTGAGTCATGGGAGGGTCTAAACTGCTGAAGGAGAAAGATGGTATTTGTCCTACCTTATCTGGCTTCCTGTTTATGTCTAACAGTATAAGGGCTGATGGATGGGGCTTCTGTGTTATGCAGCCCATCAGAGGTAAGGCCCAAACACAGACCTGGCTTCCGACTCTCAGGGAGCTAGGAGAGCCAGATCTTTGCCACAGTTCAGCAACTTACAAAATCAGCCACCGAGCGTATTTTCACTACCAATGCTCAAAACTGCATTGATCACAATGGGGTCTTCCACCACAAGTGACTTTCACCACAACTACTTATTAGCCCAATAAACACTGCAGACCAGCCATACTTTTAGGCTTTCACTACTCCAGGGAAGCATAGCTGTGGTGCAGGTATACCAGCTCCTTAAAGCAAGTTTTTAGTGACCTAATTGACCTAATTGGGAATGACATGTAATTATAGCCACAAAGCCCTGTAGCCTGGCCTCTAATGAGAATGGATTCCTTTCATCCTGCCTGAATTGTTTATGTCTGAGGATCTTATTCTTGCTGTCTCCAGAACTCACCTTGGCCTTGGCATTGACTTTGGCTTTGTTCTGGAGCAAATACTTGGCCACTTCTGTGTGCCCTGCTCTGGCTGCCATGTGTAGCGGAGTCTCCACTTTCTATAAAATAACAAAATGATAGAACTGTTAATACATGCTGGGTTTGCAAAAGGACACACACAGAGCTCCAAAATGCCAGGCTCAAGTAGCTTTGTGGGCTTTTGCCCAAGAGGTGGAGTTGCCCAGCAAGCAGCTCTTTAGCTTGCTCTGTGTGTGGGTGTGTGTTAGTATTCTAGGTATATTTTAAAATAAACCTCACAGATAGTGAAATTCAAAAGTGTAAATGTATTTCCAGATATGTTTTCTTACAAAAGTTCCAAAATATTATCCAAAAAAGCCCAACAATTTACAGATGTACCAAATTTAATGGGAAGAGTGTAGGTACCTAAGAATGGTTTCCCACATCCAGAGGCTTTGCTATAGTACAAGTTTCACTTCTAGTGGCAGAGAGGTGATGAGGAGGACCTGTCCAAGCCCCTTAGAGATCTTGGTGCTGAATGACAGCCCTTGCTGTCCTAATGACCTTACCACGTTGGAGACGTTGGGCGATGCCCCTCGCTGCAAGAGGTTCTTCACGATGGGAAGGTGTCCCATGAAGGAGGCCACGTGGAGAGGTGTCAGGCCAGACTAGAACAGGTAGGAGTGAAATGAACATATAGGAACCTCCATGCAAGGCAGAGCAAGTAGAGTTTAACTAGTGCTGTCCTGTTTCTCTGTGCCCCAGGAATGGTTTTCCAAGGAGTTGGAGGTAAACAACATTGGTTTGTTTTCAGAAAAATAATTGAAGGAACCATTGGCAAGCAAGTTCTACCACTTTTATAGTTCCACATTTTGCTTTGGATTTTGGAAAGCTTCCTGAGATCAATACAGGTCCCATTGACTTAGTCATTCAATTCTTTTAAGAATCTTTGATGTGAGTACACACCTATGTGTTCATGCATACGTGAATGTGCGTGCACACACACACACACACACACACACACTCCAACCACACAAATCTACAATGAGCCAACAGCTGTCAGAGAGGGTGATGGAGGAGAGCAGGCTGAGCCACATGCACCTACAGCTTCTCCTACCTCTGTGACGGCATCAATGGAGGCTCCAGTCTTCAGCAGCAGCTCCATGACACGAATGTGGTTCTTCTTACAGGCAATGTGTAAAGGGGTAAAGCCATTCTGTATTCCCACACACAAAGGAGAGAGACACCAGGGGCTTACACACTAGCCAAGACAAGCCTCAAAGATCACCTTGCTGTCTGAGGCATCTCTTCCCAGCAGATACTCATAATCCAATGGATAAATTTCCATTGCTTTTAAGAGTAGGTCTCTCATTAGTGCACCAAGCATGTTCCTATATATGTTGTTTAGAAACTAAAAAGAAAATTCTGTCATATTTCTGGATGCACTGAGAGCAAATTTATAATATGGTCAGAAGCAAATCATATTGCTCTGCTTTTAATGCTTAGATCACTGAAGTGAAATGAATCTGTGCTCAAGTGGGCGACACTGGCCTATATGCCCAACAGGTCAGGGTTAATCTGACTGTTTTTATCTGTCTTTGTAATATTTGTAATATTTGGTGGCTCTCAAAGAAAAGTGGCAGTGGGGGATGGTTTGTATTTCTTCCAACATGAAGCCACAGCTGGAGACACTTTTGATGGTCATAACTAGGGAAGGAGGCTATTAGCCTCTAGTGGTAGAGACCAGGGATGACACTAAATATTCTATAGCATACAAATGACAACAAAATGTCAGCCCCAGTGTCCGAAGTTAGTTCCAAGGCTGAGGAACCTCAGCCATTGCAGTGCATGGCCTGTGGTCAGTACTCAGTGAAAGTTAACTTCTGCAGTCTCTGGAGAGTACCTATCCCTCAGTTCTCCTCTCCTGTTATGGAGGGAGGGAGGGTCACAGGTATCCTCTGTGCACAGCTGACTTTCCCAGACTCCTAGATTGTCCTAGGAGACCCTGGTCTGGAGAGTAGGACACAAACCTTGACTATAGAAGGAACCTGTTTTAGGTCTAAACCTACCTTTGCCCCAGGACTGTGGAAACTGAACCCTCTTGTATAGGAAGGATGTTTAGCTTGGCCCAATGCAGCTCACAGGTCAAACAGCCAGGGATATCTTTAAGATATCCTTATCCCTCAGCTCTGTGCTTGGCTGGGGCTGAAGTGGAGCCCAGCCAACAAGCACACAATGAACAGGACCTAAGCCTGGCCTGAAGAGGTGATATTCAGGTAAATATGTAGGGGAATGTGGAAGATAAGCTCCAAGTTTCCATCAGTCTTTATGTAGCTGCCTCCCATGCTGAGCACTGAGTCGTAGGAGTCTAGACTCCTATCCTGGGCTGGGCTCTCTCTACCATTGCCCCTGTGATGCCTTCTCTACTCACGAGGGCCCTGGAGTTTGGCTTGGCTCCTTTGTCCAAAAGGACCTTGGCCACTCTGTGATGACCACAGTGGGCTGCCACATGAAGTGGGGTCAGATGGTCCAGGGTGATGTCATCTATCTCTGCATTGTATTGCAACAGGAGTCGGACACAGTCAAGGTGGTCTCCCTGAGCCGCCATGTGAATTGGGGACAAGCCATTCTGGAGAGAGGAAGAAAACAAATCATTGTAAAATCTTCTGGGGACAGAACATGAAAATGAGCTTGTCCTGAAGGACAATAAAGCAATATCACTTTCCACTGGCTGACATGATGCTTTGACATGAATTCTGAATGATCTTGGCTTCTTCTGGTCACTCTGTTCCTGTTAGCCTCTGACAACAACCTTTCTCTTTTCCACCTAACAAATCCTCCTTTCACCTTTCTCCTTTACACCTAGCCATTCTGCTAGGGCCACTTGCTCTGTGAGGAGGCTTTCCAGATTCATGCTACTCATTCAAGCCTTGTTCTCATATTTTCCCACACATGCTGCTCTCAGTCAGCTTCTCAGGTATGTGGACCTTTTCTCCACTTCTTAAGACAATGATTGTGCTTAATATTTTTTAAATGTCCCAGTGGCTAGAAAAATGCAAGTGACATGAATAGTAATGTGGTTTTGGGTACATGAGGATGGATAAATAGAGCTTAGCTCTAAATCCCTCTATTCTTTCCCCTAACAAATGCATTTCTGTGGCTGCAAATGGTCTTGACTCTGACTTTAGTCACATCTTAGAAACTCACCCCAGAAAGTAGGGCAGAGATGAAGGTAGAGGCAACATGGTGTGGCCAGCAGTTTTAGGCCCTCCTGGAAGACTCAAGTCCTCTTATTAGAACTTAGAGATGGGTCTTTTCTCTATTGTATAATGGAACTGAAGAAACACAGTATTGCCTTCTTTTTAACTAGGCTCCTATCTGACTGAGGCTCTGAAGAGTTTTAGAAGTCTTAGCTTCTGTCTTTCCTGAACTAAGGTGGAGGAGATTGGAACTGATTTAGAACTGGAACAGGCAAACAATAGCTTGTGGACCACATCTGCCGTGCTACCTGGGCCTGTAAATAAAGTTTTATTATAACATGGTCACTAGTGTGCTTGTTGTCTATGCTGCCTTTCTGCCCCATTGGTAGAGTTTAACTGTTGCTGTAATGACCGTGTCAAAAAAGCCAAAAAGTATTTAATATCTGAATCTTTGAATAAAGTTTTCACCCTTGATCTAGATAATAATTAGTGCCTCCTATGTGACAGGCATTGGAACAAATGTCACATCTATTGTTGCACTTATTTGTACTAGCACTTCTATTTTTACAGAAATAGAATTGATCCTGTGTCTCTCTGACCTGGATCCCTGCCTGGTGAGACAAAAGATACTCTACAGAATAAAAAGAGGCATACCTTGGTTTTGGCTTGGATGGGTGCCCCATGGTCTAGCAGGATCTCTGAGATTCGCACGTGCCCATTCCGAGCTGCACAGTGGAGAGGTGTCAATTCATCCTTTAAAAGATAGAGTGAAAGACAGAAGCCCAAAAGGCACCCATCAGTGGCCATGCGGAGCAGGGGCTGCCTACAGCATCATTCCCGGCTGCAGAAGTACTGAAACTTCCTTCAGACCAACTCCACTGCAGCACAATTTTGCAATCATCTCCTCCTGCACTTGGTTACTGCAGGCTACTTTAGGAAATGGCTGCTTGTCACTAACTAGGTCACCAAGAACCACCACCCTGGCAAGGCTCATGAGAGCAGAATTCCCTCTTCTAGCCTGGCCATGAAGGCAACTGGCACCTACCTTGGTCCTTGTTTCTATCTGGGCCCCCCGGTCCAGTAGGAGCCGCACCATGATCACATTCCCCCTGCGGGAGGCGATGTGCAATGGTGTGATGCCGTTCTGAAGGGAGGAAGCAGAGGACAGTCAGGTCTGGCATGCTTTTCTGTGTGCATCCCACTGTCTAACTCCCAACCCAGCTTCTGGCTGCTGTGGGCATAAGCAGCTAACTTTAAATGTGGAACATCTTTTCCCTAAGAAAGAGCTCCAAATGTGTAAGGAGGTTAATGCCATCAACTTAGCCAAACCTACACCCCCCAGGGCCAACCTAATAGACTGAAGAGAGCCAGTCCTGTCTCTAGGTGTCCACCACAGGATTGAGCAGATGTAGTTTTGTGTTCTCAAAGTAAAGTAGGTGGAAACAAAGGGGAAGATGGTTAGAAACCTGTAGCAAGAAGCCTTGACAGATGTCATGGCTATGGCACAACAGACATTTTTTTTTTTTTGTCCGGTTGTGGGGCCTGAACTCTGGGCCTGGGCGCTGTCCCTCAGCTCTTCAGCTCAAGGCTAGCGCTCTACCACTTGAGCCACAGCGCCACTTCCGGCTATTTTCTTTTTGCTTATGTGGTGCTGAGGAATCGAACCCAGGGCCTCAGGCATGCAAGGCAAGCGCTCTACCACTGAGCCATCTTCCCAGCCCCACAATAGACATTTTTATAGTGCAAATGATTGCATAGTTCCAGAAGAAGGGGCATGTAATTCTAAACATTCCAAGCATGGGAGAACCAGGACAGATTACCTGTGGTGTGAAGTTGACGCTGGCCCCCCTGTTGAGGAGCAGCTGGGCCACATTGAGGTTCTCATAGTGAGCTGCAATATGGAGGGGAGTAAATCCCGTCTGGACACAACAGAGAGGGAGAAGAACCTGTCATATGTGACTTACTGGCACATCTATCCCAGAATCAGCCTGCAGATGCTAAAAAAGTCTGTAGGACCCGAGGACCCAACACACAGTGCAGATTTTGACCAATGGTAACATTTGCCACAAGCTGCCCTTTGGCAAGCTATACTCATAGCTGAGCATCACCCTGGATGACCTCTATCCTGTACCTCATGGCCATGTCTAAAAATAGACTAGATCACCTCAATTGGAATGATCGTGCAGGAAGAGATTTTACTCATGAGTTAAAAGTGGTGTGAGTCCATGAGTTTAAATGTAGGATTGTTGCAGACCCCTAAAAAGGCCTGATGCCTCAGGAGATTTGCCAAAGTTAGACTTTTGACACCTGACTGTGTTCACCATCCTGTCCCAAATCCTCACATTACCTTCATATGGAAGCAGCCACTTTCCAGATAAAACTCAGGAGACAGAGGTGGGGCAGAGCAAAGAGGACAGTGCCACCAGCCAGTTAGGCCCCTGGGTATCTTTTCTTCACTACCCAGCCTCTCCTCTATTGGGAATATCTCTTCACTCCAGCAGGAAAGAAAAGGTGGCAGCCTGGATCTACTCTCCTGGGGCTCCAGCTTTGCTCTGGGAACCCTTCCTGTCTTCCTGAATCTTGTTCTAGATGCCCCAGCACTGCAAGAGCTAACGAGTTCCACACTATACGCATCACCTCAGCCTTTACCAGGGGTCCGAGGTGAGGCTGTCCACCAAGACCTTCCGGTATTGTTTCTAGGTTTCAAAGGCACTGTGCAAGCTGTGCTCATTGTTATGGTTGGGTCCCACCTGTTCTTGCAAAACAGCTGGGTACCGAAGCTATCCATTCAGGTAGTTTAGGTCTTCAGTCCTAGTCTCTCTCTCCCAGTACCTATCTGGCTGCCCTCACCTTGGAAAGCACATCTGGGTTGGGGTCATTCTGCAGGAGCACTGCAGCTGTCCTCGTGTCATCATTTCGGGCAGCGATGTGAAGGGCTGGGAGGCGCACCTTCCCTTTTGTCCCGTAGTTGATGAGGTGGGCTACCACATTCTCATGGCCCTGCTGCAAAGCCACGGCCAGGGGAGTGAAGCCATCCTGACAAGAAAAAGAAAGGTTTGTTTGCTGTGACTAACAGATCACTTGCTAGCCTAGAGAAAGGATACAGACTTTTTTTTTTGTCGGTCATCGGGGCTGACTCTGGGCCTGGGTGCTGTCCCTCAGCTCTTCAGCTCAAGGCTAGCACTCCACCACTTGAGCCACAGCACCACTTTCAGCTTTGTCTGCTTATGTGGTGCTGAGGAATCAAACCTAGGGCCTCATGCATGCAAGGCAAGCGCTCAACCACTGAGCTACCTTCCCAGCTCCAGGATACACACTTTTATCCCCAGCTCTTGCTTGCGACAGGCCCCAGGCTTAATGACCTTCCTTCATCCTTCTGCTCTTTGAAGTCCTCCAAGCTGCATCCTCTGAGATCAGCTAAAGTGCCATCTTTCCACCCCCCAGGACTTTTTGCTTGACCCCATGCCCTTCCTTTCCAATCTCACAAGGCCTGCAGTTATCTCTCCATAGCATTTAGTTTTCCTTTACCATCTGTTTCTAGTGTGACTTCACACTGGGAGATTCTGACTGTGAGCAATGAGAGACATTTTATTGCTCATTGATTCCTATCTGCCCTTCCTCCAGTCCCATCTACCATGGTAAGATTGTACCTTTAATGTGTCGGAGTTTTACTAAACAGGTGTCCAGGTGCTAGAAACTAAGCTGGGTCCTGAGCAGTCAACTGTGAGTTCTTAATATCACTTTTCTTACTGTGTGCTGGGGGCTTGGGGCCTCACGAAGTAGAGAGATAGAATTCAATGAATCTATGTAATCATAGAGTCACACAATGACAATAGTGAGGAAAAGCCTTAGCTCTGCCTAGTGGAACTTTATCATTTTACCAACAAGCTACCAAGTTAGAGTTAGTGATCTGTCTAAGGGATTTGTGTGCACAGAACTGGCCTTGCACTCTTTTTTTTTTGCCGGTCATGGGGCCTGAACTCTGGGTCTGGGCGCTGTCCCTCAGTTCTTCAGCTCAAGGCTAGAGCTCTACCACTGGAGCCACAGCACCACTTCCGGCTTTTTCTGTTTATGTGGTGCTGAGGAATCGAACCCAGGGCCTCATGCATGCAAGACATGAACTCTACCGCTGAGCTACCTTCCTAGCCCCTCTAAGGGATTTGTGACAAGACCCTTTCTCCTAAGATCCAAGGCAGACTTGTTAACCAGATCCTCCCCCACCCCCACCACTCTACTATATCCATTTCTTTGGCATTTATTTCTTTGCCTGACATCATTTCTTTGGCAGGTGTCAGTGTCTTCCTCAAGATCCATGACTTGCTCCTCACTCCCTTGCAGAACTAACAGCTCCAGGATCAATGCAGAGATTCAGTAACACTTCATCAGCAATCACACTGATTGAGGCCATGTCCATGGCTCAGCCACAGTGTCACATGCTTGGGACACTTCTGTTTATGACTGCTGTCCCCAGGGCACTTACTTCTGTGGCTACATTCTGATTGGCTCCATTTTCCAGTAAAAACTTAACTACTTCCAAGTGATTCTCTTGAGCTGCCATGTACAGGGGTGTGAAGCCTTTCTGTAAACCAAGAGAACAGGCCATTAAAACACAGCTGCAGTGGGGAGAGACACAAACAGATGCATACTTCTCACCTGGAGGACAGTTCTCTAACTCCAGCTCTGTCACCTAGCCTCTGTGAAATGTCCTCAACCTGGAAAACTGATTGTCATGTTGAACTGGCACTGTGGAATTACTCAGCTCTTCAGCACAAGGCTAACATTCTACCACTTGAGCCACAGTGCCACTTCCAGCTTTTTCTGCTTATGTGGTGCTGAGGAATCGAACCCAGGGCCTCATGCATGCTAGGCAAGCACTCTACCACTGAGTCACCTTCCCAGCCCTGCACTGTGGAATTACTATCAAAAGCCATCATATAGGAGGAGGATAATTCTCCATGGAGTATTTCATCTCTCATCACTTCAGTCAGGTTCTGGCTCACATGTTTCTCGTGTATTTTCACTTTCTTCTTTACTAATCCTCCATGCCCCACTCCCCCTAGCTTCTCTCCCAAAAGAAGCCATGCTAACGATGTCCCTTGGCTTGTCTCCTGGACAGAGATAACCACACGATCCTACCATGCTTAGAATGTGTAGTTTAACCATGAAGAAATCATGAAGGATGCCTTTCCCATTATGCTGGATGCACTAATGAATCTAGACTTAGCTACAGTGTGTATTAGCAGTAGAAATGTAATTAGCAAATGAAATGTAAATGAAGAAAGATAATGCCCTGTGGCAAGGGCCACAGAGCACCTACCTGAGACTGGGCATTGACATTGGCGCCATAGTTGACCAGCTCCCGGACCACCTCATCCTGACCAGCCAGGGCAGCAATGTGCAGAGCAGTGTTCCCCTTCTGAAACACACAGGAGAGGGAACAGAGGAGGTTTCCCCTATGCCAGAAGAATCAATCTGGCAGAGGAAAATACACAAGGACTAATATTCAAAATATTAATAGGTAAAATGTAATGAGCAAGTCCTCACCCAGTAAGAGAAGAGAAAAGAGTCAGAGGGAAGAAATGAAAAGAAAATGAGGCATATCATTGTTTTATTTTGTTTTTTTTTGGTCTGGTCATGGGGCCTGAACTCTGGGCCTGGGTGCTGTCCCTCAGCTCTTCAGCTCAAGGCTAGCGCTATACCACTTGAGCCTCAGTGCCACTTGCGGCTTTTTTCTTTTTGCTTATGTGGTGCTGAGGACTCAAACCCAGGGCCTCATGCATGCAAGGCAAGCACTCTACCACTGAGCCACCTTCCCAGCCCCAATATCATTGTTTTAAATGTTTAAAAGGTAAGAAGCAATAACAGGAAATAAGGGAAGGTTCTGAGAACATGAGTTTACTGTACAGGCTTCTCTGTGTCTGATTCTTCTCAGATGCTGGACAGTAGTGGAGGCATGCAGGGCCAGGAACATTGTTATTTCTAGATGCTCACACCCTGGCCAGCTAGCTTTCCTGCAAGGCTACTTTTGACCTGGGGGTCCTGGCCAAAAAGTCAGCACTACTGCCCCTATGAACCCTTGCATAATTCTTTTTTTTGGGGGGGGTCCGGTCATGGGGCCTGACTCTGGGCCTGGGCACTGTTCCTCTGCTCTTCAGCTCAAGGCTAGCACTCTACCATTTGAGCCACAGTGCCACTTCCGGCTTTTTTTTCCTGCTTATGTGGTGCTGAGGAATCGACCCCAGGGCCTCATGCATGCAAGGCAAGCGCTCTACCACTGAGCCACCTTCCCAGCCCCCCTTGCATAATTCTACTGCACATTTATTCAAGGACATTCTGGGGACAGTCACCATTTGGTACTTTTGCCAAATAGGTCTAGTGGAGGAAATGGGACTGCAGCTAGATGCATATATCTACTTAAGGAGCATACCTAATTTCTCATAGTTTGGTAGGTCCTTTGTAGCCCTTGGTTCAGCAACTTCAGATGCAACCAATCATGGACAGAAAGCAATTGGAAAAGTACTACTTCTGTACTACATATGTATTTCATTCACTAACCAATACGATACAATAAAATTTGCAGGGCATTTGTACTATATGAGACAATGTAGGTGATCTAAAAATGGTTTCAAGTTAGTAGAAGGATATATGTAGTTATATGCAAATACCAGGCCACTTTATAGAAAGGACTAGAATATTGAGAAGTTCAGAGTTTGATATTCCCCCTAGGGAAGATTGTACCTAGTTTGTGTGTGTGTGTGTGTGTGTGTGTGTGTGTCTCTGTGTGTGTGTCTCTGTGTGTGTGTGTGTGTGTGTGTGCATCCATGCATGGAAGTACCAGTCTTGCAACTTGAACTTAGGGCATGGGCACTGTCCCTGAGCCTTTTTTCTCAAGGATAACACTCCTCCACTTGAGCCACATCTCCACGTCTGACTTTTTGCTGGTTAACTGAAGATAAGAATCTCATAGACTTTCCTGCCTGAGCTGGCTTTGAACCATGATTCTTAGGGTCTCTGCTTGCTGAGTAACTAGGATTATAGGTGTAAGCCAGAAGTGCCCAGCTACCTATAGTTTTTAAACTAAATTACATAAACATGTACTAATCTAGCTCCAGAACTGACAAGAGGGAACTTCAAATCTAGTCCTTGCACTGAACCATCTATCACCTGCAGGCAAACTGTCCTCATTGAGGTGGAACTGATCAGTGATGAACTCCGTGGCTATATAACTCCTGTATCCTTCTAATAGCCACAGGAGGGATGTGACCCCCTAAGGGGCTGGAAAGGGTTTTTGTTGCTTGAACTTCAGTTTAAATGCCAAATGAGGTACATAGGAGGCAAAAACTTCCTGTGTGTTGTTTCCCCAAATGGTCATGTTCATTTCTTGTCTCATTTGATAAGTAAAAGGTTCGTTCTTAAATACCAGAGAGCAAATGGCAGAGGTAAATGTATAGAGGTTTATTAACAATTTTTCTTTCTTTCTTCTTCTTTTTTTCTATTGGTTGTAGGTCCTGAACTCTGGGCCCTCAAGGCAAGCACTCTACCTCTGAGCCACCTTCCCAGCCCCTACTAACAATTTTTCATAGAAGTCTGAAGAGCCTCCAGTGAAAGCCTTTGGCATTTGGGTCTAACTTGTTTGCTATGGAACAGGGCTGCTGGAAAGTGAAGCTTCTCTAGAAACCAAAACTCAGAGCTCCAAGAGACACCTTTGTAGATGGCATAGAGAAGGAGGCATGTGCCCTGTGTCCATTCATTTGCTGGCCATATACTGAGAGTGTGTGTCAGCATCTGAGCCACTGAGACTAATTTTCTTCACCCTGAAGAGGCAGGCTTCTAACATTTCTTTCCATCTGACCCTTCCTGTCTGAAGTCTACCATTGTCAGAGCTCTCTTCCAACAGGAGTGTTGGGAGCTGGCTGTATGTGGAACCTGATGGGTTTTGGTTCATGCATCTGTGTGGAGGGCAGCACTGGCAAGAAATAAGGACCTAGGAGAAACCCTGTGAAGTGGGCTGTTTGCCCCTTATGTGTGCACTTGCTTGAGAGTAGATACCCATCTTACCTGCCCCCCCCTCCCACACACACACCACGGCTCCAGAAGAAGTATCCTGGGCCTGGGCTGTGGAGTCAGAGAGAGGTCATAGTCTCTGTGTTCTCTGTATTGCTCTCTCTTCTGAAGGACCATGACCTTGAAGGAGCAGGAAAAGTGACTTGTTCTATATTGATCCATAAATACCCAATTTTGCCATTTCTAGGGACTCATAGAAGAAAGGATGGCAGAATCCATGATGTGTGATTTCAAGTGGAGGGGAGAAGCTCAGTGAGGGAGGCTATTCTCCAGGGAGATGAAAGCTGTCCAAAATCACTCAGGGACTGACCTCTGGCCTCTTAGGGGAGGCAGAAAAGGGGAGAAAGGTTTGCCTTATGCTTTTCAATGTCTGTGTACAGCTGTGGAACATAGATTGGCTTTGGCTTCTTGCTTTTGCTTTATTTCCTATCTTTATAGGCTTAAGAGAATAATTACAAATCCTCAGTCTGCTAGGAGACTTTCTTAGCACATGATTTGAGTTTCACCTCTTTTCCTCCCTCTATAAAATTACATGAGCTTATATATTTTCTATAAATCAGACATGCCAGTGTTCGCTGCAAAATAACAATCAAAGGGTGGGGAAGCAGAGGGAGTAAAAGGACAAAGTGTAATATTTTCACAGATCCTGGGGAAATGTTGGCCCTAAAATCCAGTCCGGTAGCTTACAAACACTTGCTTGAATCAGGCATGTGAGAGAATCATTAATAATAATGATAATAAGAACAACAATAACAAGAATTATAGTGATTATTATTGTAACCCTTCACACACAGAAGCAGCAGGTGGAAACACTATTTGTCATAAGAATACAAGAAAATGTCCTATAAATAACTCCAATTACTTCATTAATGAGCACAGTTTGATCTTTGAACTTGGGGAAAATGGCAGAATTCTACCTTGAGAAATGCTTATGTATTTAAAATATTTCCTACCCATAACTGATGTCTGTTCTCTACATACAGTTCTACTGCAGCAGAATGCTTGCTGCATACAGCTGAATTTGAGGCTGTGTGTGGCCCTTTAAAAAATAACAAATGGACCTAAGAGGCTGGGGAAAACTCAAGCATGAAGACATGGGAAAGTCAGGGAGAGGAGACTTGAGCTGGTAAATGGAGATAAATGCTTTTACAATTACTGGCTGCATCCTGTTTAATAAATAAGATGCGTGCATATAAGAAATGAAACTTGCTTTTGGGGCTGGGGGTGTAGCTCAGTGGTAGAGTACATGCTTAGCATATGCAAAGAATCAGTAAAAAAAGATTGTCTTTCAATCTACAGATGAATATTAATAGATGCCTCTGTGCCAAACACCTTATCACAAAAGATAATGCTGCTTCAGTGACTGAACAATGCAAGTTTGCAGAGGCATCTAGAATTTCTTCTACAGCCCTCAACAACATAGTCGCCAGTTTATTACTTCCTGTGTGCCAGTCACCTCATTTGTGTGCACCACTTTACTTGACCTTTACACCAAATCCTGTGTTTTACTGAGGAGGCTCAGGCTTCCCAGTGCTGAAGTATCTTGCCTAAGATCACAGAGTGGGAAGTTTCTTAACCAGGAATCCAAGGTAGCCAGCACTGCAGTTTCTAAGACTCCAATCTTGCTATATGAGTCTAGAACCTTGAGGAGGATGAAGCCAGCAGGAAAGGGCGGTTGTTTTAGAATCTAGTGATGAGAATAAGATAAAAACCCACCAAACCTTTCTGGAAGCAGGGTCTAGTTTTTCAGATGGTACTCAGTACTCAGAGAATTAGGATACAATTAGAGGGATAACGGAAATTCAGGATCACGTTTGGGTTTCTCTCAAGAAAGACTTGTGTCTAAGCCAAGGTTTGGGACAATCTGAGGTATCTAAATTTTCAACAAAAATTAACCTTCCCTCCCCTGCTTTGACATACCTTGGTTGTTGTTTCTAGAATGATTTCTTTGTGCAGAAGTTCAACCACCATCTTCACATGGCCTTCTTTAGAGGCCAGATGCAGGCCATTCAACCCATTCTGAAACAAAGAGGCAGAAAGGGTGTGGTTAGGTTAATGGGAATGTGCATTTTGCCCTTCCAAGTGGCTGGAAAAAGGCTTCTTCTCAGCTGGGAGGGGAGCAGGGAGGGGCAGGCAGAATTGGAGGGGTGCTAAGAGGTCTAAACAGGCCCAGAGTGGAGCCTCCCCAATCTTTCCTTAGCACCCCTTATGTAGGAGCATCAAGTACCAAAAGAGCAAAGAAGATGACAGGACCAGTATGCCTTAGATTTGAATCAACCTGGGGAAGCTCTCCTGGAACCAAGGAGGGACCTTGAAATTCAGATCTTAGGCAGCCTAATTTAGACATTACTGTGGTTTGGAAGTATACCCTAAGGTTACCTATGTTGAAGGTTTGATCACCAGCCAGTGGTACTATTGGGAGAAGTGGAACTTTTAAGAGGTAGGGCCCATGGGAGGATGTTGAGCTCTCTGAGAACATGCCCTTAAAGACACGGGAATGCAGATCTCTCCCTGTCTCTCACTTCCTGGCTTCCATTGTCACAGTTCCAAAGCACTGGCCAGTGATCATGTACTAATCCTCTGAAATGGAGCCAAAATACACTTTTCTCTTTATTAACTTTATATTCTCAGGTATTTTTTTTACACTAATGCATAGCTATCATAGGCATCCCACTTGACTGAAATAGCTTCAGTAATGACCAGGAAAAGCCCAGAGACCAAATCACTGCATCCTCAATATCTGTAGAGACTGCATGTGCTTAGTTAGATGACAAACCTCAAAAGGAAGCCACAGGAGTGCTATATGAGGCCATAAGTAGTATTATCCATCCATCTATGATTTCCTTAGTAGAAAAACCAGTATTCATTTCTTTTCCACAGCCTGCCTGATTGTTGCATTGTAGGGAAACCAAAAAGAAGCAAAACATGGTTTTCATGCCCAAATCAGCCCACAAAAGCAGAGCTCTCAGTTGGGTGCTGGTGGCTTATGCCTGTTTGAGGATTGTGGTATGAAGCCAGTCTGGGAAAGAAAGTCAGTGAGACTCTTATTTCCAATTAACCACCCGAAAGCCAGAAGTAGAGTTGTGGCTCAAGTGGTAGAACACAAGCCTTGAGTACAAAAGCTCCAAGACAGCACCCAGGTCTTGTGTCAAGCCCCAGGACCAGGAAAAAAAAAAGAGCAGAGTTCCCATTCAAGTTCTGCTGGGTCAAGTGGAGCCACAGTGCTCTAGGAAAAGTGTTTGGGCCCAAGGTACATTACACCCTTCTTCTTCCCCATCATGACTCTTACACACAAATGTCTTGAAATTTTTGGCAAAAGTAGACATCAAAAAGTGCTATTCAGAGCAACAAATAATTCTGACAGTGGATGGAAAAAAATTCAGTTCTAATGGATCTTAGCTTTGTACAGAAAATAAGTTTAGTCAGTGAGTAATTCCTATCCTATGTTTATTTTTATTTTTATTTTATTTGTGAAGATACTGTACAGAGGGGTTACAATTACATGGGCAGGGTAATGCGTACATTTCTTACCAAGCATTGCATCCTCCTCCTTTGTTTACCCTTCATATCCCTTCCCAGCCTCCCCCCTCCCCCCACAATCCCAATCCTTCTCCTTCCTCCCCCTTCCCCCCCCACCCCCCTGCCCCGCACCGACATTGTAAAGCTCGTTTTGGACATGACAACTTGTACTTCTCATTGTTGCAACAGGTCCACCTGTATCCTTAAACAACTGGTTTTTCCCCATCTCCTCCACAAGTTATACTGACATCAAATATAGTGAAAGCAGGGGTTATACTGTGGGGGAGGGACATACAAAGCAACAAAGAGATAATCTTATAAATGCGTTAGAAACACATGCATGAAAGAAAAAACATTAAAATACATATCTAAGGGTTCATTTTCCTAACATCACATTATCTGACCTTTTCCGCTTGACTCATACATATACTAGATATTGCATATAAGGGAAACCACGGGACCTATGTTTCTTTGGGCCTGGCTTACTTCACTTAATATAATTTTTTCCAAGTTTTTCCATTTCCTAACAAATGGGGCAATGTCATTCTTTCTGATGGAGGCATAGAATTCCATTGTGTATATATACCACATTTTCTTGATCCATTCATCTACTGAGGGGCATCTGGGTTGGTTCCATATCTTAGCTACGGTAAATAATGCTGCAATAAACATTGTTGTGCTGGTAGCTTTAGTGTGGTCTTGTTTGTAAACATTTGGGTAAATGCCCAAAAGTGGGATTGCTGGGCATAGGGGAGTTCTATGTGAAGTCTTTTGAGGAACCTCCATACTGCTTTCCAAAGTGGTTGAACAAGTTTACATTCCCACCAACAATGAAGTAAGGTTCCTTTTTGTCCACATCCCCTCCAGCATCTGTTGTTGTTAGAGTTCTTGATTTTTGCCGTTCTAACTGGGGCGAGGTGATATCTCAATGTTGTTTTGATTTGCATTTCTTTTATGGCTAGGGATGTTGAACATTTCTTCATGTGTCTATTGGCCATCCTTCTTTCTTCTTCAGAGAAGTTATCCTATGTTTTTTTGTTTTGCTCACACCTCCTCCTTCCCAACAAACCCTTCTCCTTGCCTCCCTTGCTTTTGCTTCTTTCCTCTTCTCCCCTTCTTTTCTCTCCCTCTTTCCTCTATCCTGTCCTCTTCTTCACCTCTTCTTTTCCTCCTCTTTCATCTCTCTTCTTATCTCTTCCAACATTCAGTTTTAGTCAATTTTGTTCTGGCACCTTCCTTTTTAGAGAAGGTCATGGAGCTATCCATTATAGCTATGACTATAAAAATGACCCTCATGGGCTTCTGGCATGAGATGTTGGCCCTGACATACCCATCTAAGCATCTCTGAAACCCCATCCTAGGCTTAAAGCTCAAGGGGAAGGCACTAGTTACCCAACTAGTAGATAGGTCTTAAGTAACAAACGAAAGTCATGGAGTCACATGGATGTGTAAGAAGACACCCTACATCAGAGCTTGTGTCAGGGTAGGCATACAGAAATATCAAGAGTTAGAGGAAAGGAAGACACAGCTGCAAAAGGAACTTCAGCTGTGTGTTATATAGATTAAGCCTGCCCCACACCATAAATAGCTTTTGTATGCAGTTGGCCAAATCTTTGCCCTTAACACAGTGGACTTACCAGGGTATGACCTTACCCTCGCATGCACTCACAGATAAGTAGGCTAAGATTGATGGAATGGGCCCTTCACCAAACAGTTCCTCTTGGCAATGCGACAATCGCCTCACATTTTCTCCTCTTACAGATTTTGCATACCATTCATTGTATAATGCAGATTCTTCACCATCCCCTGGCCCATTGAATGAATTTGTCAGATAAAAGATAGGTAAGAGCTTAATCATGGGAACAGGTTGTGGAGTGCCTGACTTACACATAGTGTCAGAAAAGGATGCTAGGGGAGGCTAAGAGTACCTGACAGACACAAACTCAACTCTCTTAAATCCAATATGCAAAACACAAATTTGGGGAAAAGTGATTTGTCAAATGAGAGGAGCAGCAGGAGGCCCAAAGACCCTCCCTGAAGAGGTGTGTGTGCTCCCTGAAGAGAGTGTGTGTGTGTGTGTGTGTGTGTGTGTGTGTGTGTTCTGGTACTGAGGCTTGAACTTGGGGCCTTTTACTCTTACTTAATTTTTCACTCATGGCCAGCACTTCTACCACTTGAACTACACACTATTCTGTTTTTTGCTGGTTAACTGGAGATGAGTCTCCCAGATTCTCCTGCCACAGCTGGCTTTGACTTCAATCCTCAGAGTAGCTAGGAGTATAGATGTGAACCACTGGTGCCTGGCTTCTCCCTGCAGACTTGGTTATTCCCAAGGGCAGGCCTCAGGAAAAGCCCTGCTCCTTCCTCCACAAGGCCTACTGTTCTGTCCCTCTTGCAGAAAGTTCTAAGAGGCAAGGAAAGCAGGTGCCTGGGGTCACTTTGGGAAGTTGCCAGGAGAAGGCCATAGTGCCTGCTATCATCTACTAGCTGCAGAAGGTGAACTTGGGGCTGACTGTGGGTTTCATGGCCTTCCTGGGCAAAAGCCACTGATGGGCTTCCCATGGTTCTGAAACCCTCAAAGGTCTAGGTTGATGGCCCTGGGAGCAAACAGCTTATGTCAATGGCTACTTCTGCTACTTCTTATTCTTCAAAGTCAATGTGTAGGCCTCAACCCACAGGGATTCTAGATGCTCTATCTGACCACAGGATGCTGGAATGGAAAGAGATTAGAAACTCTTGGCGTCTACCCTTCCTCTACTGCTGAGAAAACCAAGGTTCTGAGCAGCCAAATAATCAGTGGAAGTCAGGGAACAGCTACACAGAACCAAGCTGGACTTCCCAGGGAAAAGTTTTTCAGGAGCTAGTGTGTTTCTTTTCAGTAGAAGATGAAAACATACTTTCTCCTTTTCAGTTACCCAGAAGTATAGAGTGAGCATACTCAGTGCCAGCTCTCATCCCTGTAGATCAGACTGTGATCTCTGCAGTTGATTCTAGTATTTTACTCATTGGTCTAGTCCCTTTTCTTTCCTCCTTCCCAAAGCCACACTCCTGGCAGAAGGTGATCTTCCACACAAAAGAGACACACTGACAGGATTCTTGCATCTCTCACAGCTTGACTCACCTTCCCTCCCACATCCTCATTCAATGATCTCTTTCTTCTCTAGGACTCCTCCTTATCTCTCTCATTACATTTGTACTTGTCTACAACAGTTTCTCTAAGGTACTTTTATACCTATCACTGTGGTGATGGTCATCTAATGTCCTTATCTGAGCTACAGAACCAAAGCAAAGTCTATCAGTCATAACCAATGAAAATGTGCAGGAAGACCCAGGAAATTAGTACACAATAAAATCATGTGTGCAACTCACTGAACAAACACTGGTCTCAACACAGGTTGCATTTAATCTAATCAAACATGTCCTGAGAACCTACTGTGCCTGGCAGTGTGCTACAGATGAGTGAGATGCAAACCTTTCCTTTGAAAAACTCCCTTTAGGGG